GGATACCGGTGGGCAAAAACGTAGGGCAAAAAAGTTGAGAAAGAAAATAAAGAGCGCCGTCGGTCCCGGTTCGGCGCTGCAACGAGAGGGCTCCGGAAGACTTGGCAGTTTTCTGCCCCATGCGCTCGCGCACACGAGTGGTAGGAGGAGTGCCGCCGCGCGTGCAAGTGAGATGGTCTCTGCCCTGCAGAAGAGGGCGTCATTCGCTGGGTATCACAGTAAAAATCATCACGAGCATAGCATAGTTTGTAAATGCAAAAACGAATATCACGCACTTCTACTACTAGTTCTACTTTTATTTGAAAAGTGTTCCTAGCAAGAGCCTGTCATGCACCACGAGCCCCGACCATGCCGTGCCGGCGGCCATCGTGGCCAGGCAGGAGACAGAGATTGTTTCGTTAATATTCGTTTTTGCATAAAGGATACAGAATTTTTTATGCTATGCTCTCTTCTTTTTGCTCCTGGATAGTGGGAAGAGATCGAAATCCTTCCTGAGGGACGCCTCCCCGGCGAGCGCAGCACAGGGGCCCGCAAGTACTGCTGCAGATAGTATGATCATCAAAAGTGCGGGCGGCGAAAGCGGACAGAGGACAAGCAAGAAATTGCGGATGGGAAGTGAAATCCTCTATCCGGCAGACGAAGCGGCCGACCAAGTGCAACAACAAGTTCCGGCTTCCGAGAATAGCATGTCTTCGGTGATACGTGGTATCCTGAGTAAAAACGTACCCACACCAGAGTCAAGCTGGGGATTTTGCAACACAAACCTAGGAGTTTTGTGAGTCACGCATGACAAGTTCGTCTCTGTATTGTAGTGCAGTTTAGCAAGCACAGCCGCAACACAAATCCAGCTACTCATCCTGTCGACAGCATTACAAAGCGCAAAACGCGATTGGAAATGCCTCTCATGTGGATGCGCATTACAAGTCTTCCTGTAGCTGCAAATCTGCATGACAACTCTGGGGTGGGTACATTTTTGCTCAGGATAGGCGGAGCAGTTTTACATCTTTGACGCCGCAAACTTCAACGAGTTTCGGGGCAAGGGTTCGATGGCCACGGATTGGGAGCACGAAGAAACCGTACCGGATCCCACAGCAAGTAGTACTGCCACAGACCCGTCTGAAGCGGGGGCCGTGGCGGCGGAAAAAAAGTGGAGGCTGCGCAAGGAGTACTTGCCCCCGAAGCTCTATGAGTGTGTCAGGATCGAAATCGACAAAATCGAAAGATTTGTGATGCATAAAATGTAGGGCTGCACTCAGTGCAGCACTGGAGGCCTGTATTGGGGAGCAGGCAAGTGAGCCCGATTGTAAGCCTGTTTGGGGGTATGCAATGCGCTGCAAGAGTAGTATGACAGGAGTAGTCTTCTTTGCCCAAACAGCATGACAGGCGGGATTTGGGTACTTCCAAAATTTGTCATGCGCCACCTGCACACTGAAGCTCCAACTGGTATCGATTTTATGCATCACAAGTTTTTCGATTTTGTCAACTTCGATTCTGAGACTTCCATAAGCTCCGGTACCTGTCCCAAGACGTCGTCGAAAAGCTTCTGTGCTCGAAATATCTGCTGTACATGGACGAAGATTTGCTCACGACTGCCACCACATCGGAGTCCATCGAGATGGCAAATGAATCCAACAAAGAATCTACCGCCCGCGCCGGAAAAATGGACTACTTGCAAAAGAAAATCCACGACGAGCTCAAGGACTGGGAGATCGACCAGATGTACCTGAAAAGTACACGAACGGCAGGGGAGACAGAAGAGCGGAACACGGGTCAAAGCAGCGGATTGGCCGACGAGGGTCGTCGTGGTATGCCTCCGTTTCCGGACGATCCCGCGACGAAGCAGCTGGACATCATATGACAGTGCACCACTCCCCCTCCCCCTCATTTGTCATGCAAAATACCAAATCCAGGCTGTGCCTCTTAGCACTTTTTGCATGACAAACTCAGGAAGCCCCAACAGTACTACAATCCTGTGTAAATTTGTCATGCAAAACTGGCATTCTTGTTGACGCTTGTACTGCCGTTCATGCTATACAAATGAGGGGGAGGGGGCGTTGTGCACTGTCATGCATTATTTCGATGACGCAGATGCTGGAATTCAAAGACACGTGGAGAAAGTACGTCTTTCGGGACGCGTGGTCGAAGCAACTCACCGATGAGCCGGGGTACGGCTTGCCGATTCTGCAAGCGGTGTGGAAAATGGAAATGGAGTAATGCGAAAGTCGGTGGTGGTGGAAATGCAGACCTGCATGAAAACCTGCTCGAAAATACAATTATTCATGTAGGTGTTTCACAATTTTGGCTCGAATGTGGCGAATTGTATTCACCAATGAATATGTTCTTCACACAACTGTATTTTACTACCAGCAAGGCCCAGACCCAGAAGCGAAACTTTTCCCTTTCTGTCGATTCTGAACAAGTTTTACCACTTCTTTTCTGCGAAATAAAATTCAATACGTACAACTAGGTAGTTCCTACCACGACTAATTCGATTTTGAGAATATAGACACTAGAGTAGCGATGCTTTTCATTTTCAATCATCTTGAGAATAAAAAATTGGACTTTGTGTTGCAGCAGAGGTTGCAGGAGCAGAAGCGTTTCAAAAGACTACCAATATTTTCTACATGCCGATGCCGTGCAGCCGCTCCAGCACGCTATTTTCCACCTCCCGATTTCTACTACAATAACAGAGCTGTGAGGCACACGCACAGCTTCGGATTATTATATGCCAGTCTTTTTTGTCTGCTAAGGCTAACGAGATGGAGATCCAAATTCGTACATATTTGATGGCTACTTGTCACGGATGAGCATGATCTTCATTTTTTTATCTCTGGCGTAGAGAAGTGAGGATGAAGAGGCTTATTTTATTTATGTTTTTTCAACGAGAAGTGTGTTGCCACTCCGACTCGAAGGCAAAAGATATATCTTTGAAAACGTTCTTTCCTGTTTATTTTTCACGGACGAGCTGCAGGGTCGTGAAAGAGTCGAGAATCACGATGGGAAAGATCAGAATAAGTACTAAAACAACAGTAAAGAGATGTTGATCCAAATTCGTACATATTTGGCAGTAATCACGACGGACGAGAATGATCTTGATTGTTTATCTCTAGCCTAAAGAAGTGAGGATTTGAAGAGGCTTATCTATTCCATCTCGGTTCGTTTGTCCAACAGCAGTCCAAGTGAAGCAACAAATATGTCTGGGTCCTCTGGAAGGTTGCAACCTGTCATGCTAAATCTGCATCGTACCAAAAAATTGTGTTGCATGATTACCAAAAGATGCCCACTTTTGGACAAGTTCAAGGCAGTTTCAGAAAGATGCCGTGCAGCCACTCCAGCACGCTATTTTCCACCACCTTTCGATTTCTACTACAATAGCAGAGCTATGAGGTACAGGTACAACAGCTACGGATTATTAGATGCCAGTCTTTAATATTTTTGTCTGCTAAGGGGGCTAACGAGATGGAGATCCAAATTCGTACATATTTGATGGCTACTAGTCACGGGTGAGGATGATCTTTGTTTTACCTCTGGCGTAGAGGACAAGTGAGGATGAAGAGGCTTATTTTCCTCTCGGTTCGTTTGTCCAACAGCAGTCCAAGTGAAGCAACAAAGGAGTTTTGGAGGATAATCTGGTTCCTCGAATAACAGCTCCAACTACAGAAATGCTTCTACTTTGTCATCATCATCTTCTTCTTCTTCTTCTTCTTCTTCTACATCAGCAGCACAATCTTTTCAATCGGTTTCAGCAGCAGATAGAGTACCAATCCAGGCGATAATGAGAATGCAGGGTCGTAAAAGGATATTCTGAGGCGAAAGCGCCGAATAGAATAAATTCATCAGATTTACATCATCAGTTTTGGTGGACCATTTGACGACCAGAAGATAAGATACAGTGACGCTTTGACAGCATCATAACTGGAGGATCCCTAGAAAAACAAGTAAGTTCTGTTTTATAATCAGAAGCCGAGGTTAATAATATCATCTAATGCCGTGTACCAGTCGGGGCCGCGAAAACTCGTGTCTTGTATGTTGTGAACAACCTACTTGATAGATCGTAGAGGTTTAATATTTTCGGCTACCGTCTAGTATTCTCCTCCGGGCAGCTCCGTCGTGTCTCAGTGGTCCTTCGCAGTTGTTGCAATTCGATTATTGTTTCACACACAAAACTAAGAATGTGTGTGCTGTAATTCTCTGTAGCAAGAGAGGATGTATGTGCTGTAACCTGTGGCAAGAGAGGACTACAAAACTACACGCGTGCAACACGACAACACGAAGCGCGTAGCTATGCCATTCTTGTTTCGACAACGCCTAGCACGTATGTAGATCTCGTCGAGTAATTTTCATCAAGCCTGCATGTGGTATAATTGTTCATGCGTCAGATTATTTATGGCGAAGATCCCGATCGTCTCTCAGTGGACTCCTGACGTCGAGTCCTAACGAGCAGGAGTTGAGCAGCCCTTTTATCAAATGCAAAAATGTCTTGGTCTGGAAGGTTGGAACTTGTGATGCTAACTTTGGACTCCAAAAAAATTTGTATTGCATGACCAGCAAGACAAGTCTAGTTGCAGTTTGTGCTTATGCAAAATATGAATGACAGGTCTCAGAATCTTCCAGACCCCGACGTTTTTGCATTTGATAACTCTTTGACACGAACCGATCAGACGTCCATCGCGGGTGGGACCTTCTTTCAAAGCGGAAACGTCAGAGTTTTCGGCGGGCTTACGCTGAACAGCGGAGATGCAGTTTCACGCAGCATATTCAGCCGCATATAGGAGGGCATGGCGCAGATTCAGGCAGTACCAGGACGACGCCGAGAAGCGGAGAACTTACGACGCGCTATTTAAAACGATCAACCAGCAAGCCGACATCCGGGGCAAGGTGCGGATATTTCAGAACGCGGTAGGAGATGGCGAAGATGTGGACATGCTAGAAACGGCTCTTTATCTCAGTTTGACGCTACGGGACATGGAAGGCCTCCCCGAAGCTTCGCCGGAAATCGCAGAGCTGCTCGGATGGCCCAGGTTGCCCGGGCATGCGGACAGCATCGGCAACGAGAACGACGGCGCGCGGCACGTGAGCCAGCCGCAAACCGGAAACGCGGCGCCGTCGAGTAGTGCCTACCACCACCACCAACACGACCACCGTGGTCATCAAGGCAAACCCCGCACGAATCAACGGGGCACGACGCGGCCATCTCCCAGCCCGCACGCTGCACCCGGCGCCGCTCGCTTTTCACGCAGTGACGACGTTCGACGAGGGGGCCATCTTCGTGATAGCAGCGACGTCGTCTTCGAGTACGCATAGAAAAAAATTGCTTTTGCAGTTTTATTACGCGTTGACATGATTTGGGACTTGAGCTTCAGCATGCAAACCCGGCATGCATCATCTGCATAGGAGAGGTTACTAAATAAAACGCGGATGTTGAAACTGGTACTGCCTGCCTTGGATTTGTTTTCCTAAAGCACAGTGTACAACTTCTTCAGCACTTTTTTTTCTTTCCATACCAACCACCAGAAAGGACAACGCAGCCGACGTGGAACCCGTAGCAGAAGGCGGACCTCCGGAGGTGGTTATCCTGAGTAAAAACGTCCCCCGCCCATAGTTGTCATGCAAGTTCGCAAGCCTCATAATGTTTTGCCATACAGAGCCCCATGAAGAGAATTCTGTATTATGCTGTCTGGCAGTTTGTCATGCTAGAATCAGCATGAGCGGATCGATTTGTGATGCAGCTACAAAAGGAAAACGCTATTACACGGCGAGCCCAAACTTGTCATGCGCGACAGCCAAAAGACGTTGGCTTTGTGTAGCCAATCCCCATGCTTCACTACGGGGTGGGGAAGTTTTTGCACAGGATAGTGTCGGAGATGCTGTCGAGCGACGAGGTCGTGCTCGCGATCTGGAGGACCGGCGCAGCAGAGCTATCCTGTGCAAAAGTATCGCACTCGTATTGCAATCATGCATTACAAATCTTTTTCTCAAGGTAAATCAGCATTACAAATTTTATTTCTCATGCTGAGGAAATTTGTAATGCACTTATACGAGTGCAATACTTTTACACTGCAGAAAAACCCGAGGTAGACGACGGAGTGAAAGCAAGAGAAACGGACGGCAAGGAGGGCAGACTCGTCAGCAGGAGCAGCATACGGCTGGAAAACATGTGTGGGTCTGGAAGGATGGTGGACGGAAACTTCAACTTGTAATGCAAACTCTGCATCACACATATTATATATCTGTAGTACAGAGGCTCGAAGAGCTGCCCGTATTCCGCTACGCAAACAGCGCAGTTCTCATGCGAGACAGTGGGGCGCACCAAGAGACCTCGCGCAAGCCTGTAATTTGCTACTTTTGCATTAGCGATGTGCAAATAATTCGAGAATATTTATACTCCAAAACCTGCATGACAGACTTTTACACGACTTTTCCAGACCCACACATGTTTGCAGTGGATATTAGGACGCGAAAATGTACGGCGGGCCGGCGATAGGCAGCGATCCGGAGGACGGGAAAGCCGCGGGGGAGAGAGACGACGAGAGCGAAACGAGCCGGAGGAGGAGGGGAGCAGGAGGGGAGCGAAACGACGAGAGTGGGAGGATAGCAGGCAGCGTCGGATCGCGGATGAACGAGGCGGGAATTATCAAGCGCAGAGACGACAACCAGGCCGCGACCGATCTTCCATTCGTAGACGCGAACGCTTTCAATTTACCCATCAAGCTATGCATTGCAAATATGTCTGGGTCTGGAAGGATGCGGACTTGTGATGCGCATTTCACAACACAGACAAATCTCTCATGCATAGGCAGCAAAAGGTGCCCAATTCCTGTCAGTAAAATGGGGGATTTGTCATGCGGATTAAGCAATGCGGAAGCTTCTTGAAGTCTGTGATGGTAGGGCTTCCATGACAAACATTTTGTGTCGTGCAAAAACAGCATGACAAAAATCTGCATTCTTCCAGACCGAGACATTTTTGCATTGGATACAAGCGCAGAGACGCGAATCACGCGGCGGCGACCGATCTTCCAGTCGTAGCACCAGCCCCGAGCATTTTCAATTTTCCAACCTCCATATGAGAGTGCATAACTCCACCTCCTCCTGATTTGTATTGCATGAACAGCAACACAAACACCGCCACACCTGGAGCCTGTGCATGACAAGTTCATGCGCCTGTTGTAGTACTGTTTGGGCTTCCGGAATCTGTCATCCAAACAGTGCCACAGGGAAGGACTTGGATTTGGAGTTTTGGAGAGGGAGTTGTGCACTGTCATACTCCAGTTCCTAGGAGACGAGGAGAAATGGCAGATCGGATCGCACTTGGGAGACGGATATCCACGGCAAATATGTCTGGGTCTGGAAACTTGTGATGCATGTCAGTGAACCATAAGGACAGTATGATGTGTCGCCAAGCATGACAGCTTTTGTTTTTTCGTGGCTCTGTGTTGTGTGTCTCGCATGAGAAACTGCGTTACGCGAGGAGCTCTGCGAGGCCACGCGGCACAGGGCGCAGTAGAGTCATACCAAAATAGCATGGCAAACTACTTCGAAATCATCGTCCAGGAGACCCAGAAACGTTTTCAATTCATAACGACACGTTTGGCCGAGTGATCCAGGTGAAGTTCGTGGGGACGGAGGAAGAAGTATCCTGAGTAAAAACGTACCCACACCAGAGTCAAGATGGGGATTTTGCAACACAAACCTAGGAGTTTTGGGAGTCACGCATGACAAGTTTCAGTCCGTAAGGTAGTGCAAGTTAGCAAGGAAAGCCGCATCACAAATCGACCTGCTGATCCTGTTCACAGCATCACAAATTCCAAAACACGATTGGCAATGGCTCTCATGGGGATGCGCATCACAAATGTCTTTGTCATTGCAAATCTGCATTACAACTCTGGGGTGGGTACGTTTTTACTCAGGATAAGAAGCTGCTGCACGCGGAATTCTCGAGGTGCAGAACAAAGACTTTGCTGTATTGCGAGGAAAAATTCCCCCTCCCCATATCAAAACGAAATTTCTGATGCTGGATTTGCGTACACAAATCAGCCCTGTCTTGCATTAGAGGACTGCAGGCCCGTAGCAAGCCTGAGCGGAGAGGTTTTAGCCTAGGCGCCCAGCATGACAAAAGTCTATGCCGTAGGCCCAAAAGCATCACAAACCGCTGGCATAATGCGGGAAGTCTTCTGGGTTTGCCTCCTTGCAAGACAGAGACGATTTGTGACCACAAATAAGCATCACAAATTTCCAAAAATGTACCTTTTCATTATGGGGAGGGGGGATTTTTCCTCACAATATGCTGCGAAGGTGATTAAATCCAGCGAAAAACCTCGACAAGACGCTGAAGACGAGTACCGAATTCTGCTGCAAATTCAGGAACAGGGCAAGGAGTTCAAAGACGGCGTTTGTGCTGGTAAGAAGAGAATTGTGCAGCTCGTGGATCAGTTCACGCACGGGCGACATTTCTATGGAATGCAAAAGTCTTGTACTCGTATATAGTATTAAATGCCTCAACATGAGAAAGAAAATTTGTAAACGTAATGCGGATTTTTTATTTTTACCTCAAGAAAAACATTTGTAATGCATGTGCTACGAGTACTATACTTTTGCAGTTCATAATCTCGTCATGGTCTTCGAAAGCCTCGCAGCCATATCCTGTGCAAAAGTATCGTACTCGTAGTAATCGCAGTCATGCATTACAGATCTCCCCCCTAACCTAAATCCTCATTACAAATTCCATTTTTCATGCTGAGCAAATTTGTAATGCGATTGCTACTAGTACGATGCTTTTGCATTTCATAAGCCAGCCTGTACCACCATTTGACCGGCAATCAATACAGTACTGAGAGGAAAAACCCCCCCGCCTCCCCATATTGAAAAAGAAATTATTGTGATGTTAATTTGTGATCACAAATCGGCTTTGTCTTGCATACAAGGCGAAGGCAAAGGGCCGCAGCCGTGTAGTTCTGGCGCATTGTTGTACAGCGAAGCTGTCATGCGTTTTCGCCTATGTCAGCCTTGCTTCTCAGGCGAAGCTGCTAGCCGGATGCTTCCCAAATGGGCTCCGAATAAGTATGCCGACAAGCTCTTGCTGCAATACAAAGTTCATTTGTGTACACAAAAAATCCGGTAAAAAGAAAACACAAATTGTCTTCTGACTATGGGGTCGTGGGGGCTTTTTTCACTTTGAAATAGAGACCGATGTTTTTACAAGACATCCAGCAGGTTGCGAAGGACACGTTCGAGGGTTTAGCATTTCTTCACTCTATCAAATGCGTGCACACCGACCTCAAGCCGGAGAACATATTGTTCCAATTTCCTGCGACCTACGCGACACGTCCACCGGCAAGGTGCTTCGACGAGGACAAAGCCCGGCAGGTATCAAATGCAAAAATCCCAGGATGTCTGGAAACTTGTGATGCTGTGTGGCGTATCATGAGGAGGCCACAACTGCTGGCTCAGCATGACAAGTTTCTGAGCTTTTAGGTGTTGCCTATTCTGCATGACAAACTACGTTTCTGCATGACAGAAAAACGGAGCTCTTGGGTAACGTGCATGACAGATTTAAGAGTCATGCCAGACAAGCATGACAAACATGAATTCTTCCAGACATCCAGGGATTTTTACAGTTGATAGCAGGCTGGGGGGGACGACTACCGACAATGGACGCAGAACCAGTGTCGCAGTTTTTTAGGCCACGCAGTGGGACCCACCCGGAGGGAGGTAGACGGGGCAATCAAGCAGGGGCGCTTATCCTGTGTAAAAACGTCCCCACACCAGAGTCAGGATGGGGATGATGCAACGCAAACCTAGGAGTTTTGTGGGTCACGCATGACAAGTTGCACTCTTCAGTGTAGTGCAGGTTAGCAAGGGCAGCCGCATCACAGATTTATCTGCTCGTCCTGTTCACAGCATCACAAATTCCAAAACACGATTGGAAATGGCTCTCATGGGGATGCGCGTTACAAGTCTTCCTGTCTTTGCAAATCTGCATTACAACTCTGGTGTGGGTACGTTTTTCCTCAGGATAGTGCTTCCAAGACGGCGAGTACCGGCGTCCGACAGTTGCGAAAATCAAGATAATCGATTATCAAATGTAAAAATGTCTGGGTCTGGAAGATTGCAACTTGTCATGCTAAATCTGCAGCATGCAAAAATCTGTGTTGCATGATTACCAAAAGTCGTCCAGTTTTGACCAAGTCGGGAGGTAGTTTCTCATGCAGGATAGGCATGAAAGAGACCTCTCAGACTCTGCCATGCTAGGCCCCGAATTCCAGACCTCACGGGTCATGGAAAACCTGCATGACAAGTTCACACTCTTCCAGACCCAGACATTTTTACAATCCATATCGATTGCGGTGGGGCAATCTTTCAGGACGAGCACGGACGACCAAACAACGCGGAAATTTCTACCCCAAGCTACCGCAGCCCCGAAGTGATGATTGGAGCCGCGTGGGACGCGCGAGCGGATGTCTACTCCTTCGGATGCATACTAATGGAGCTATACCTCGGTGATATCTTGAACGTCACTAGCAGTGGAAGCGAGGGTATCGTACGAAAAAAGTGTTTCACTGTAAGAATTTTGCAAGTTATTTTGCATCACAAGTTTGTCCTACATGACAGAGAAAATTTGCCATGCGAGATTCCTAAGGGAAAACACAGATCAAAATCCATTGTCTTGCATGTGTAGCAAGACAAACACTTCTCGGTAGATGCATTTTCTGCATTACAAGTTTACAGTGAAACAGTTTTTTCTTGCGATAGAGGGCTCCGGTAGCGACCGCAGCCGTGATTCTGCGCCGAGCAACTACCTAGGGTATGTGCAGCAGATGCTGCAGATGCAGACCATAGGCGGATGCTTCAGCGATGCTTTTTTGCGAACTGGGCGGGAGTCGAAGTTTCGCGGGGCCTTTCGAAGATGGAAGAATCCGGTGCAAGGGCTCGACAAGATGTGGTACTCACGACAGGTCTACGCATGGAAAGCATCGAACTGGGTCTGAGAAAAACATTATGCAACGTGTCATGCTGAACTAACAGCTGGATCGCACAAATAGAAATCTGTGTTGCATAAGCCCGATAATTTGCCATGTGTCAACATGCGGGTTCGGCATTAAGAAGCAAGCTTTTACACAATCTTTGATGCATCTGTGCCACGCCGTCTTTGTGCAACTACTTATTTTGCAGACCCAGAATACTTATTTGCAATGCATAAGGTGCGGTCTTGTACACCACCAGAGGAGGCCGTAGACATATCAAAGTGAAACAATCCCCCACCCCATAATTCAAAAGACATCAATTCGTGTTGCTGCATGACGTACACCTACACAAATGAACTTTCTATTGCAGTAAGAGCTTGTCGGCATACTCTGCCCCTATTTGGGTACGCATCCGGCCAGCAGCGGAACATGCGCAACAAGTCTGAAATAGGCGAAACAGCATGACAGACTCGCTGTACAATGCGCCACACGGGTGCCGTTTCCATCCTTGTACGCAAGACAGAGCTGATTTGTGTACGCAAATCCAGCAGCACAAATTTCCTTTTCGATATTGGGAGGGGGGATTTTTCCTCGCAATAAGACACGCTAGCCAACTATCAAATGTAAAAATGTCTGGGTCTGGAAGAATGCAAGTTTGTCATGCTAATTTTGGATTCTAGAAAAATCTGTATTGCATGACCAGCAAGAGGAGCCCAGTTTCTGCTACGCGGGGAGGCCATTTGTCATGCGGAATAGGCATCAAGAAGCACTCAGAAAATCTGTGATGCCAGGGAATACATCACAGACGTCACGGGCCATGTAAAATCTGCATTACAAGTTCGCATTCTTCCAGACCCAGACATTTTTACACTTGATACCAACATGATCGCCGGAGGCGAACCAGGTGGCCACGCCGAGTATCCTGTGCAAAAGTATCGTACTCGTACTAATCGCATTCATGCATTACAAATTTCGTTCTCAGGTTAAATCCGCATTACAAATTTTCTTTCTCATGCTGAGAAAATTTGTCATGCGATTTATACTAGTACGATGCTTTTGCATTGCATACCGAGTTCTTCCGGTCAATTTGCGAAGCGTGTTATGCATTGCAAATATCGAAGATCTGGGTCTGGATCTGTAATGCACGACTTGAACAAAGGACACTGAGCAGATCTGTGTCTGTCATGCATGGAGACGATTGGCGGTGGCGAGATTTTCTGCTATGCTGCACGGGCGTTTGTCATGCAAATATAGGAATGAAAGAATCTTCATTACACATCTCGCGAAATAGAACCCTGTCATGCCGGAGTGCCGTACAAGCGACGAGTGTGTATACTTATGTTGCAAGATGAGGACTCAGCAACATAAATCCATTTCCAGACCCAGAGATCTTGGATTCGATACCCGCCTATCAAATGTAAAAATATCTGGGTCTGGAAGATTGGAACTTGCGATGCTGCATTTGGATTGTAAAAAAATCTGTATTGCATGAGCAGCAAAGGGAATGCGTTTTTTGCTACGCTGAGATGGCATTTGTAATGCGGAATAGGCATCAAGAAGCCCTCAAAAAGTCTGTGATGCTAGGCCACGCATCACAGACATCAAGACTCATGCAAAACCTGCATGACAAGTCTAGAAATCTTTCAGGCCCAGACATTTTTACATTTGATAACGCCTCACCGTGGACCCGGCCACCCGAATCACGTCGCAGAAGGTATGCCTTGTAAAGATGTCTACGTCTCGAAGGACGCGACTTGTCATGCTAAGTCTGCAACCGTGCAAAAACCTGTGTCGCATGCAGAGGCATGACACACATCTCACAGAATCTATCTTGCTAGTTTGTTATTTGTGCCAGGAATCTTCACGGGTCATAGGATGAAACCTGCATGACAAGTCTTCCGTTTTTCCAGATGATCCAGACATCTTTGCATTGCATACAGGGCGTTAGCACACAATTTTTTTCACCGACCCGTGACCTCACACGACTGAACGCGACGCAGTTTATCTTCACGCACGGATTTTGCTTTTTACACATCAAGGACGTTGCCGACCGAGCGTTCTACCGCAACCAGGAAGGCCTGTGGGTTGCGGAGAAGGTGTCGAGCGTCACAAATCTGTGCTCGTGTGTGCGTCTACTCACAGAGAAATCCATGACAGCAGACAAATCATGATGTTACGGACAAACACAAAGATGATGACGATGGTGACGGATTTTGCTTTTCACCTAGTGCAACACATCAACAGCATACATAGTGGCCCACATGATACGAAATCAACATGAAGCAAGGCACTCACATATTGAAAAAGCATGAAAACAAGACGAAGCTTCCGGGTTAGCAGCAATACTTTCTGCGTCCGTGTTTTTTCTTTTTTCGGCCGTGTTCCACTCACGACCTATAGACGTTGTACTGTGGGAGAACGAAGAAAACTGCACAGAAGGATGAAGAAGTATATTTAAACAGGCTAGCTCAGATGTCAATGTGGAAGATGGTGTTGTTCATCTTGAAGGAAACATTTTGAATCAGTCTCAATGGTTTTGGTTTTTGAGCCTGCTCAATGGTCTTAGTTTTTAAGCCTGCTCAGCACTGGAAGATGCCGGATCCTGTCTCAATGGTTTTGGCTTTTAAGCCTGCTCAACATTGGAGGATGCCGGATCCTGTCTCAATGGTTTTGGCTTTTAAGCCTGCTCAACATTGGAGGATGCCGGATCCTGTCTCAATGGTTTTGGCTTTTAAGCCTGCTCAACATTGGAAGATGCCGGATCCTGTCTCAATGGTTTTGGCTTGTAACCCTGCTCAGCATTGGAAGATGCCGGATCCTGTCTCAATGGTTTTAGTTTTTAAGCCTGCTTCAACATTGGAGGATGCCGGATCCTGTCTCAATGGTTTTGGCTTTTAACCCTGCTCAGCATTGGAAGATGCCGGATCCTGTCTCAATGGTTTTGGTTTTTAAGCCTGCTCAACATTGGAGGATGCCGGATCCTGTCTCAATGGTTTTGGCTTTTAACCCTGCTCAGCATTGGAAGATGCCGGATCCTGTCTCAATGGTTTTGGCTTTTAAGCCTGCTCAACATTGGAGGATGCCGGATCCTGTCTCAATGGTTTTGGCTTTTAAGCCTGCTCAACATTGGAAGATGCCGGATCCTGTCTCAATGGTTTTGGCTTGTAACCCTGCTCAGCATTGGAAGATGCCGGATCCTGTCTCAATGGTTTTAGTTTTTAAGCCTGCTTCAACATTGGAGGATGCCGGATCCTGTCTCAATGGTTTTGGCTTTTAACCCTGCTCAGCATTGGAAGATGCCGGATCCTGTCTCAATGGTTTTGGTTTTCAAGCCTGCTCAACATTGGAGGATGCCGGATCCTGTCTCAATGGTTTTGGCTTTTAACCCTGCTCAGCATTGGAAGATGCCGGATCCTGTCTCAATGGTTTTGGTTTTCAAGCCTGCTCAACATTGGAGGATGCCGGATCCTGTCTCAATGGTTTTGGCTTTTAACCCTGCTCAGCATTGGAAGATGCCGGATCCTGTCTCAATGGTTTTGGCTTTTAAGCCTGCTCAACATTAGAAGATGCTGGATCCTGTCTCAGTGGTTTTGGTTTTTAAAGTTTAAACCTGCAACAGAACGTCGATTGCACGACCACGTTGGTGCTCCTTAGTAGTTGTGTAGGGTAAGAACACTAACAGCAGTATCAACCAGTCTATACACGACCCGTTTTCTTTCTGTGGATCCAATCCGTTCCAAAACCGTGTCGAAAGGTATTTTTGTGTCAGGAATAATAAGACTCAGACACAAGCCGAGCCATGCCGCAACAGGAGCAATGGGGGCGGCCGCAGCTACAGCGTTTAATCCAGCAGCAGCAGCTGATGACGATGACACAGCAACAAATACAGGAGCAAGAGCAGACGTTGTTCGCGTACAACCCAGAGCAAGAGCAGATACGGCAGCAGCTGCAGCAGCTGAGACGAGCAGCGAACACGGATTACAGTGTTTTCAATTTCAACGCGCCTCCAGCTACAACATCCCATGCCATCCAGCAGCGCCACGGGATGAAAAAACCCGAAAGTACCAGATGCAAATATTTTTGGGTCGGGATGCAGGATTTCGCTTTTCATGGACCATGACAAGTGGAACCACAATCATGCAGGAGGTAGTATGCCAGATTCTGCATTCGTCTCTATCGTGCCTTTCCTGCATGACAAACTCCCTCGTCTCCATTTGATGGTGAAGTAAAGCAGACAACTTTACTTGGTACTATCATACAACAAGGGTGTTTGCATGATGATCCAGGGGGAGCGACGTCACAAGTTGGAACTCTTTCAGACCCAGAAATATTTGCAATGCATATTTCGTGCTCCCCAAGCAAAAGTCGTGACTCAGTCGTCATCTTCTGGGGCCGCAGCCTCGACTACAAACCATCTACAAACGCAACCACACCAACAAGCAGACCAACAGCCTGCCCCGGTAAGCGCTATGAAGACGTCGTCTGCTGCAGCAGGGTGTGCTGAGTCAGATCCCCACGAGGGCGGAGCGCCGCAGATGATACTTGCGTCGCCGAAATCGACGTTGCAGACGCGCAAAGAGCAGATCGCTCTACAAATCGCAGCAGCACGGAAACAAAGAGCGCTGGCGAAGCGGGCGGGCAGAGGCTCGGCGCGCCAGACGCTCGGGGTTCGTCCTGACGGGAAGGAGACCACGACGCGAAAGACAGACAAGAGACCACGACGCGAAAGACAGACAAGTGAAATTGCCGCTAATGGTCCTTCGAGCGAGGGCAAACAGGAAGCGGATGTTACTCACGGCCCGGCTTCCACGCGCGGCGGGAATCGTCGTCACGCCCACGAGCAAAATCTGGAGCAAGAAAACCAACAGCCGACGAGGGCTCAACAGCATCACCAACAGCGCGTCGCGCTGACGAGTAAAAAGTTCCGCCGCTGTGTCCTCGCTGTGCAACTTTGCTTGTACTGTGGGACGTTGCTGCGTGAAATCCGGGTTCGTAAATTGGTTCACAAGCTGCAGACTATGGTGAGAAATTTGGTCCGGATACACAAGTGGTGCGAACGAATCCGGAGAAAGGCAGCATGCAGACCCGGCGCGCTAGAGCAAGAACTGGAGTATCAGCATATGAACCTCCCGGAGGAAGATCAGGAAAGAGATCGGGAAGAACAAGCTTGTGCCGATGAGGATGATGAGGCCAACACGAGCTGCAAACTCGCGGAGCTGGACATCGATACCTTAGTCAGGAGAACGCCGCGTAACTGGCGGTCCAGGTCGAACCGGCGAGAAATCAGGAGCTGGGGGCGTAGCAGTGGAGAGTCAGAGGACTATGCATTGCAAATATGTCTGGGTCTGAATCTGTGTTGCTGCCTTTCAAGGACAGCCACAGCAGGGTCTGTAATACATGAATACGATTGATCTTTTTTCTCGTACGGGTGGCAGGAACAAGTCAGTTTGTCATGCATTTGTACGCATGAAAATGAATCTGTAATGCGACGAGCCGCAACACATATTTCCAGACCGAGAAGAATTTCCACCCGATAATTATCAACGGGAGGAGGCGAGTGACGACGAAGACAGTGCGCCGCACTTCGAGGTCAAATCCGGAGACTTCTTATCAAATGTAAAAGTGTCTGGGTCTGGAAGAGCCAAACTTGTGATGCTGCATTTGGATGCTAAAAAAACTTGTATTGCATGACCAGCAAGAGGATTCAATTTTGGCTACGCGGAGAGGGCATTTGTCATGCTGGATGCGCATAGATAAGCGCTCAAGAAATCTGTGATGCTATGGCATACATCACAGACATCACGGATCATGGAAAATGTGCATGACAAAGTTGTGCTCTTCCAGACCCAGACACTTTTACATTTGATATTTCTTAGGCCCGGACAACAAGTGGGTCATCGGGGAATATGACCGTGCACAACCCCCCCTCCCCCTCATGTGTCGTGCATCACAATCTCAAATCCAGTCGCTTCCCTGTGGCACTGTTTGCACGACAAACTTTGAAACCACAAAGAGTACCACAGTAGACACATAAATTTGTCATGCACAGGCTCGTCCAGGGTCGCTGGTGTAGTTTGTATTGCTGTTCATGCGATACAAACAAGGGGCGGGGAGGGGGGGTTGCGCACTGTCATAGGGAACAGTTGGGCGACGGCACTTTCGGTCGCGTCCTCGAGGTCCGTGACGCGGAACAGGCTAAGGCGAGAGGGATCGAGAGAACCAAGGCGTACGCCGCAAAAGTGGTACGAGCCCGGAAGACGCATACGAGTGACGCGCTAGGGGAATACCGAGTGCTGAAGCGGCTTTATCCACTGGTAAAATGTCTAGATCTGGAGGCAGTCATGTTTTTTTCATGCAGTTTTCGCATTTGCATCTGCAAGAACGTGGGTAATGCACACAGAGCATGACACATTTTCTTTTTCGGGACGGCGCTCCCTGATAAGTACCTAGTCTGAATGAGTGATGCCGCCTTCTGGCGACAAAAATCGACACAGGAGAGGTTTGTCTTTTCCAGAAAGCGCATCACAATTTTACATTCTTGTTCCAGAGGACCGAGACGTATTTACAATGCATAGGCTACAGCAGAGTGCAAATCAGTTGGAGGAGGACGAATATCCCGGCAAATACATATCAAAATGAAAAATCCTCCCTTCCTATATCAAAGGGGAATCTGTGATGCGGGACTTGTGTACACAAATCGAATTTGTCTTGCAGAAGGCGAGTGCAGGCAGATCTAAGCCTATGTAAGGGCCGGAGTTGCCTTAATGCAAGGCAGATGACATGATTTCTGGTTACAATTCTGCATGGCAAATTTTCAGAAAGATGCGCTATCGATATGGGGAGGGAAGATTTTTCATTGCGATAAGACAAGCTCGTTCAGCTCCTGGAGAAATTTTTTCACCGCGACGGGCCACGGCGGCACTTGGTGCTGGTGTTTGAGCAGCTCGGATTTCTATCCCGCAGAAAAGTAGTACACCCACACAGCAAAAAAAGGAGTTGGTCTTGTTCTCGTCGTGGCCGTTCTGTCATTAGAAATTTGCGATCATTCCTATCTAGAGGCGTAGAAGTTCTGTCATGTATCTCGGACTGGGAAAGTGTAATGCATGGCCGCATGACAGATACGAATTTTTTGTCATGCTGAATTGCCGCTGCGGGAGAACTTTTTGGAACACAGAAGAGAGCGATGACAATTTTGTTTCTCTCTGGTATGTCGGAAGTGCTTTTCTGCAGGATACGGCAGCCTGTGGGAGCTGCTTCTAGGAAATAAACTGCGAGGGATGTTCCTCCGAGATATTCAAGCAATTGCGCGCGACGGCTTCCTATCCCCTGCAAGTGTGTCGCGGTCTGGAAGCTTGCAGCTTGTGATGCTCCGACTTGTGCTACGCGAAGAGAACACTTCTGATGCGGAGTATGCATCAGGAAGCAATGCAAAAATCTGTAAAGATGCTAGGTCATGCATTAAGTACAGGCATCGCCGGCCGTGCAAAATATGCATGACATACCTGGCAATCTTCCAGGCCCAAACATAATTTTTGCAGTTGATGCTCCGAGGCGTTGTGCTTTATGCACAGCCTGGGCTGTGTGCATACGGATTTGAAGCCAGAAAGTATGCATTTCAAAAGCATCGCGCTAGTACTTGTCATCGCGTCTTCACATGTTTGCTCAGCATGAAAGAGCGGATTTGTCATGCGGACTTACCTTGAGCAAAGAATTTGTAATGCGTGGCTGCAATTAGTGCGAGTGCGATGCCTTTGCAATGCATAGAAAATATTCTCCTGCAATTCCCGGGCACTAGCCCGTGCCGTCCGCCTGTCCGATCGCACATCGAGCAACTGGCGCAGAAGGCCGGCGGAACCAGGTGGAGAGCTTGGGAAAAGAAGCACCGGGCCACTTTCAGTGGCCAGGAGGCACCCGGACGAGAAGGGACTCCGAGGCACCGGGACGAGAAGGGAGTGCTCCAGCTCGGGCACTGGGAGGACGGCCAATACCGACGCCCGCTACTTCCCAGCTTCAAGATTATCGACTGCGGGGGCGCGGTCTTTGAAGACGATCCGCGATATGAGCGACTCAACGAAATAAGTACACGATACTACAGAAGTCCCGAGGTGATGCTCGGCATGAAATGGAACACCCAAACCGACGTCTACTCCTTCGGGTGCATTTATGGTTGTGTCAGGATCGAAATCGTCAGAGTTGAAAGAGTTTGCCATGCATAAAATCCAACGCAGACATTGCCTCTATTGCAGAGGACGCAAGGGCGGCAGGTTGTGGCGCTGCTAAGGGTCGGTAATTGGGCTGCTGATTAACATCACAGAGGGGAGCCCCTTCGCCCTAAACGGCATGACACACTGGGCTCCGGTAAGTACGGACAAAATTTGTCATGCAGCGACTAGACACTGTGGGCCCAATTGGTATCCATTTTATGCATATACAACTTATTTCAACTTTGTCGATTTCAATCCTGACACTCTCATAGCATTCTGTTGGAGCTGTATTTGGGCGAAGAGGTGCACCGGACTACGAAATACGCACTGTGAGCCTATCTGTGTCCACCTCTGGAATCTCATGCGTCTGATGCAGGTTGCGTTGCAGAGTAGTCACATGTACTGCGTAGTAGTATCAGAAATTCGAAGTTTGCGACCTGGCTCATCGCAGATTCATTTGTAAAACGGCTGACAAATAACTGAGCTTCACAGCATGACAAAGAAGTTGCTCAAGCGCACGCTTGCATTTTACAGATCTTCTCGCACTTCCAAACTCGCATGACAAATCCTGACCCAAACACATATTTGCAATGCATACCGAAGACGACCCTGACACGCGGGATCTCCAGCATGTCTCGCAGATGGAGACTCTGGGTGGCGGGTTCAGCGATGACTTGTTGAAGCGGTATGCATTGCAAAAGCATCGTACTCGTATAAATGCATTACAAATTTCCTATTCCTCAGCATGAGAAATATAGATTTGTAATGCGGGTTTAGCTTAAGAAACAGGTATATAATGCGTAACTGCGATTTATTACTACGAGTACGAAACTTTTGCACAGGATAAGAGGGCGAAGGAATCGCGAGTGACCGAATTCTTCCTCGAGCAACGCGCAGCGGATATTCGCGAAGATAAGGACGGGAAGCTGTACTCCCGGGCAGTCAAGCCTTGCCACCCACCGCTATTGGGAAAGGTAAAGGATTTCGTCTACGCTGGCAGGAGTATGAGAGTGCACAATTCTACTCCTTCAAGCTGTCTCCTTTGGTTGTCATGAACGACCTCGCAACAGAAACAAAAGCGAAAATGTTAATGTAGTATCTCTTCTGCATGACATCTTCCACTTCCTCAAAGCCAACTTGCAATTTTGCATGACAAATGAGAGCAACCGGGGGGGTTGTGCACTCTCATACAGAAAAGAAAAAAACCTGAGAGAACCCAGAGCCGGATCATGCAGGCGGGCAGCTACGCGAGACAGTTTCGGAAACTCTGTTATCAAATGTAAAAATGTCTGGGTCTGGAAGAATCCATCAACTTCTCATGCGGATTTTGGATTCTAAAAAAATCTGTATTGCATGAGCAGCAAAGAGAGTCCAAGTTTTGCTACACGGAAAGAGAATTTGCCATGCGGTATAGGCATCAGGAAGCCCTCACAAAATCTGTGATGCTAGGGCATGCATCACAGACATCAGGAGTCATCCAAAATGTGCATGACAAACCTGGCAATCTTCCAGACCCAGACATTTTTACATTTGATATCTGTGAGAAGTGCCTGACACTCGACCCCACGGACCGCATCTCGGCACAGAAAGCCCTTTATGCATTGCGAATGTTTCATGTCTGGGTCCTCCGGAAGATTCCGACTTTGTGATGCTAGGTCTGGGTGATGCGACAAGCGAACAACTGTATTGCATGACCAGGAAAAGCAGCCGCCTTTTACCTCCAGTCGAACACGACATCTCTTATATGGCAAGATTGGCAATCTTCCCGATCCAGACGTCTTTTGCTTGCCCTGCATACGTTCTCCCACAGCTTTCTGAAGCAGGAAGACCTACCAATAGACGACTAAGTCCCGCGCTTTGGAGGTCCCTCCTCGCGGAATAATATTGTTGAAAATGACTGTTGAAAGTGACTCAGTAATATTGTTGAAAATGTATGTTGTTGAAAGTGACTTTGCTCTTTGCAGCACACATAGCCGAAGCATAGAGATCGTTAGACACCATAGTCCAAAAAAACCCCCCCCCCAGTGGTGCGCGTGTTGTCCGCCGCCGAGTTTGCGCGGCAAGCGGCTTTTGGCCGTTGTGCAGTGAAGTTGCTGCTTATGCTTTGCGTTTCGTGCTGTCAAGTTTTTCGTCTATGGCTGACAGTGTTTTTGTTTAGATCAATCGGCTCGTCTTGTGGATCCTTTGATCAGAATGGAAGAATTACAAGAAGCCAGCAGTATAGAGAAACTTCGAAAACCCGGTAGACCGGATACGAAGACGTCGGTGATGCAGACCTTGGCCTTTTTGCTTTTAGGTACACCTTCTGCCTACGATTTCTATTTCACTTTCAGAGCTAAATAAACTGAACTTCATAGGCTGGTCTGCACGACAGAGAGAGGCAATTGTACCTGCTAGAATTTTTACAACCCGTCGATATAGCAAAAGATGCGGTCGCTATTCCTCTTCCTCGTCGTCACTAAGCTGCTATTTTCCTTTTCGAGTGAAGAAATAAGAAGAAACTGAAGAAGCCCACCATCAAGACAGCCTAGCAAAGGCTCCCACGGCCGGGGGACACACGACGGCCGGCGGCGCTTTCTGTCCGCACCGGTGGACGAAGACAAGCTAAGTAATACTGCCTGACGAACGGATCTTCACACATCAGGATCAACGCGAGATGCCCTCGTTCATCCGAGACCACGATCTCCAGTCCGTGCGGACGGTGCTCTTTGCGGAGGAAGGAGGTTGCGTGGAGCAGGAAAAAGAACCGCATGACAGATTCCCGGAGGAACAGCAAGAAGTAGAGCGAAAGGATTTTTCAACGAACGGAGGAGTGAGCACCGCTTTTGGACGAGCAACTGCTTCTCTTGAAAAACTTCCGATTCCACAGTGGGACGACTCAGTGCTGAAAGAGCTGGGGATCGAGGAATCGCTCGCACGAAGAATATCCTGTGCAAAAATTGTTTTGTGATCGTACTTGGATAGTTAGTCAATGCCAAGCTGCATGACAAATCCGCTCGGCATGAGCATGACAAATCTGTGCAGCATGACAAATCTGCTCAGCATGAAAACCGGCGTTTGTCATGCGGATTTAGCTTTCAAGCGAGATTTGTCATGCATTTTCTCCAACTGGTACGATCAAATGCTACTTTTGCAATGCATAAGACTTCAAGACCGGCAAGCTTCTGATCGGCGAGCACCAAGACCTCGACCTGCTCATCTACGATAACTTCTATTGCGAAAGGCGCATGACAAAATCCGGATCTTCGTTGAATCAAACTGACCAGGTTTTCTACTTCTGCTTCGGAATGGTGGCGTTTCTTGTCACGTGCAGCTACGGGTTCAGCGTGACCGCACAGAGGACCGCCGGAAGAAGTTCATCGAACAGCGGATGTCCTGGTGACGGGGATCAGAATTGCAGTTTTCTGACACTCCCTGGGCTTTTGGAGATGGTTTTACACCTTCTATTCTTCGCCATCTACTGGACGACGCGGTACCACCCCGGGTTTTTTCAAGGACGGCAGCTTGTGCTGGAGGAGCCGCAATACTGGCGTCCATCGGATGCTGGCGGCGAAGGGCCCACTCTCGACGATCCGAAGAGCGCAACATCCTTGCTGGAGGAGGAAGCAGGGACTGCTAGCTCCAGACCGGGCGAAGACACCCTGCTGAAAAACGTCAAAGCTGACCATCAGTTGTACGAGGATGAAATATCAGTCTCATCATCGGTGCCCGAAAGGACGACTGCTGCCGGAGACTATCATCGTACGAGGATAGTCTCGACACACGAGGAAGATGCAGCGGGCCGTCGATGCGATGGACGAGTAGCTAGATCAACGCCTGGTAGAAGTGGAAGTGGTGGTCTCAAGTACCATTACTGTCACCAATGCCACCATTACTGCCCTCTCCGGTCACGGCACTGTCGGGTCAGCAAGCAGTGCGTCCTGACCTTCGATCACCACTGTTTTTGGATCGGCGGCGTTGTATCCAATGCAAATACGTCTGGGTCTGGAAGATTGCCAGGTTTGTCATGCATAAACTTGCGTGACCCATGACGCCTGTAATGCATGACCTAGCATCACAGATTTTTAGATGGCTTCCTGATGCCTCTTCCGCATGAGAAATGCCCTCGTGGTCTCCGCGTAGAGCAAACTGGACTCCTCTTGCTGGTCATGCAACACAAACTTCTTTTAGAATCCAAAGACAGCATGACAAGTTACAACCTTCCAGACCCAGACTACATATTTGCAATGCATACGGTGTCGGCGAAAAGAACCATGGGAGGTTCGTGTTGCTACTGTTCCTGGCGGTTGTGTTGTGCTTTCTGCACTGGAAAAACCTGGTTTTCAACCCGGAAATGCCGAGCATGATATCTTCGAAGACGAAGATATTCCTGGTGCTGCTTGCGCTCTTACCCTTCACGGCCTTCACGTGTGGACTATTGCTGTATCACTGCTACTACCCTGTGCAAAAGTATCGTATTCGTATTTATTACAATAATGCATTACAAATTCTTTTCTCAACGTAAATCCGCATTACAAATTTTATTTCTCATGCTGAAGAAATTTGTAATGCAATTTTTACTAGTACGATGGTTTTGCATTGCATAGCTGCCTCATTTCCACGAACCAGACCACCTGGGAGCACTGGTCGCAGCCGGTTTACGTGCGGAATTTGTATTGCAGGAACGAGCCAGACGGGAATGGAATCTCCAACGCAGGTGGCTGCAGTTCGCCTACGCCCCACCGCACGGAGGACAGCACGGAATTGATTGCGCAGACAGATACGCCGCAGAACGGAACAGTGGATGCTGGCAGTGACTTCGTGCCTGATCGCCGTGTGAAAATCATTCATCCTTTCTCGACGAAGAACTCCTGTCTGGCAAACTGGAAGGAGCGGGTCAGTCTGGACTACGGATTTCAAATGCTGTTGCGCTGGGTGGGAGTGTCGTCGCGATCAGCTTGTCATGCACGACCGCAAACTACAAGCAACATCGTCTACCGCTGGCGCCGATGGCAAGAAGGCGATCCAGTGCCGTTTTCGTATTGGGAGAACGAGTATTACTCGTGTTTCTAGCGGAGCTGCGAACAGCGAGCAGAATGTACTGGGAAGAAGTCGACGCCTGACTCAGGACCAACTGTCCTCGTTTTGCTGGGAGAACGAACGTGCAGCTTAATGCGAGTCGCAGACGGCTGTGCGCATTTTGTTTTTGGACAAGTAAGCCGTTGGCGCATCTGCGGTTGACGGAATCTGCGCGTGTTGCGGACGGGAATTCGTGCGTGGAGTGTCGCCCTGGCCTGCGTGACTGTGGCATTGACGGGATTGCTGTAGTGGTGCGTACCAGGTACTGGATTTCTAATGCACACAGGGCTGGCGGAAACGCTTGCGAAAACGAGAAGAAGAGGCAGCGTGAAGGTCATCCATCCTTTCTCAACGAGAAACTCGTTTTTCGAAAATTGGAAGCAGCGGATCAGCCTGGACTACGGGTTTCAACTCCTGTTCCGCTGGGCTTCAAGATCGCCTTGTCATGCGCGACCGCAAACTACGAGTAATGTCGTCTACCGCTGGCGCCGATGGCAAGAAGGCGATCCAGTGCCGTCTTCGTACTGGGAAAACGAGTATTACACGTGTTTCTGAGTGGAGCTACGGGCAGCGAGCAGAGATGCTGATGCCGGTATTTGGGACGGAATCAATCGCCATGCGGCCTGGACGGCAGGGAAGTGCGGAGTAGTGGGTCTTCGCGTCCGACTGAGGACCAGCAGTCGTTTTGCTGGGGGAAGAGAACGGACGGATTGATGCGAGTCGCAAGACGTTCTGCGCACTGCGGACGACAAGCGAGGCTGCGATGCACTCGCGGCTGACAGAGCCTGCGATACGCCCGCACTGTGCTGGACGGGGATTTGCGCTTTGAAAACGGCCTCGTTCTAGCTGACGGTGGTATTGGTGGCATTGCTGTAGCGGTGAGGACGAGGTCTGAGTGGCAGCGCATGCACTACCAGCGGAAAGAACGGTTGCGAATGCAGTAAATGATGGGATAAATACGGAACGGTTGAGGATGCCTTGCCGCAGGGAAGAAGATGCGGCCGTCACGCGTGTCGCAGGGAAGAATGCGGATCTCTTGGAATCCAGTGACCGCGAGAGAGGTGTATGATTTAACCCGAAGTGCAGGTGGCGCGAATTGCAGAAGAAATGATCAAGAAACCGACGCAGTTTTCAGTGCTTCACGCTGGAGATAAACCGCGAAGTGCGGGAAGAAACGAAAGTGCAGTGGCTCCGTCGCGTGACAGCAAGGTATCTGGAGGTCGGAATCTGATTCGCACCAAACGAATGCTAATATGAAATGTGCACAGTTGCAACTAAAAGATCATGTGCAAATGCACCATTCCGGATCAGAAATTTTCGATCTCAGCAAGTCAACCTGCAGCGTCCCACCGAGCGACAGTGAAGCCACGCGTTTACCACGGTGTCCAGCAGTTTCCGGCCACACTGGTATCGGTGCCGTGCCTTATAGTGGAGGAAGCAGGAGTTCACGTCGCGGGATAGAGTTTGGAACATGTTCTGATGCAAGCATTGCTTTGCGAAGGACGACAGGAGAGCAAAAGATGGTCAGCGGCAGCAATCCCCTCTCACAAAGACGGCACGGTACCGGGTGTGGAGGAAGAGGACATTTGTTCGGAATTTGTATTGCAGGGAACGGGAGGAAACGGAACTGCCAGCTCCAGCCCACCTGCGCTTCGTTTTACTGAAGAGGACCGCACGGAATTGATTGCACATGCAGGTAAGCTGCAAGACGGACTAGCAGATGCCTGGGGAACGTGTGAAAATCATCCATCCCTTCTCGACGAAGTAGAACTTCTGTGTGGAAAATTGGAAGGAGCGGATAGGTTTGGACTACGGATTTCAACTCCTCTTGCGCTGTGTAGGAGTTTCGTCGCGACCAGTTTGTCATGCACAACCGCAACCTACTCCTGCAAATAACATCGTGTAGCGGCGATGGCAAGAAGGCGATGTAGTGCAGTTTTCGTATTGGGAGAACGAATATTACTCGCGTTTCTGAATCGAGAAGCGGCCGCGAGGGAGGAGGCAGCGGGAAGCGAGCAGAGATGCTGATACCGGTATTTGAGACGACGGGGTCAACCGCGGCACGGCCTGGACGGCAGGAGAGTGCAAATTTGTGGATCTTCGCGTCCGACCGAAGACCAGCAATTGTTGTGCTGGGAAAATACAAAAAACGGATTGATGCGAGTCGCAGGAGGTTCTGCGCACTTCGGACAAGCGAGCCTGCGTTTGTCCGCGGCTGACGGCGCCTTCTATACGCCCACACTGTGGACGGGGATTTGCGCTTGGAGAACGGCCTCGTCCTGGCTGACCCTGGTATTGGTGGCGTTGCTGTAGCGGTGAGGATGAGGTGCGAGTGATAGTGCGTACAGTGCCAGCAGAAAGAACGATTGTGGAGCAAAGAATAATGAGGACAACGCCATCGAATTGCAGGACCCACGGACCCACCATAATGAGGGCGCAACCATGGGGTTGCAAGTGCGCGGCGGAGATGGCCACCGCCTGGTTTGAGCGGCAGTGCGCATAGCAACATCAAGACGGGTTCATCCAGAATGGAAAGAGGAGCACCCAGACGACCGGAACCTGGCCAAACCAAACGCGGAGCGAAAGCAGGATGGAGAATGTTGCTGTGACTGACGTCAAAGGCGGTGTGCGGCAAGCAACGCAGAGACTGGTCTACGGGATGATTCACTTTGTGGAGAAGGAGGACGGGGTGCACAAGAAGGAGATGGAGAGGAAGATTCACGGCTTTACTCCACCGCAGGAACAAGATCTTCATGGACATGGCTTTACTCCACCGCGTATCGGGCTGCATCGGCGATTGGAATTGGAGTGCAAAGGAGGTAGAAGTGTGGAAAATTGAATTGAGATTCAGAATTTGCGTACTACACCTGTTTCAAACCACCGTGGCCCGTGTACGTAGAACCAACGATTCTCATCTTCAGATCTCGAGATCCAGAAATCGAAATCTAGAACGGAAAATCCCTGTTCTGCAGTAAAGGATCTCAAAATAGCGAAAACGAAAAGTCCAAGATCAAAATCGATTTCGATTCAGAGACCATTCGAAGAAACAATCAGGTACCCATCAACAGAAATTCTTCAACGGATGTTTTTTCTTGGGCGACGGGGTGCACCAGAAGTATCGCGAGATGGACTCTAGTGGATGAAGGCCGAGGAAGAAATGGACATTGTCGCACAGGACGCTAGCACGGTGGACTGCAAGTGAGTATTTTGTGTTGCAGTGCGCGGGAAAAGCTGAAAAGAGCGTCCCGGTTGACGTGCCGGAGAAGGACACCTGCATGGACAACATCGCGTACTTCAGGCACGGACGATAGAAGCTGGAAAAAAGGCGCATTCTGTCATGGTGTACAAGAACTTTCTCACGCGCCGCTGTGCAGCCTACGACTACATCCAGATTGGCGATTTGAATCAGGTACGGATATACTTCTGGAAGAGGATTTCTGCAGGATTCACCTCACAGCGTATTGAAACAAAAAATGAAAGTATCGTCGAATCATTTATTGTGATACAATCCTCATTGCAGATCATTTTCCAGCGGTTGCAGAACAACCCGGGAAATTTGGAATTTCGATTTTAAAAAGTGAACTGAAAATCCGAATTGACAATGCACTATCAGGTACAACAACTTGAAGCCAAGTTCGCGTCCAACAAGCCCAGGCAAGGTATAGCAAGCAGGTGTACGAGGGTGTTTTCGTCTTGGTCCGCAAGAGCAAACTTCGTTGTCGACTACGAGGACTCCGCGATCGAGAGCCAGGTTTACGACAGACGACGACTCCTCGATCGCAGGACCATGGGCAAAGGACATCGGTATGACCAACGTCACGTAGGCAGAATCAAGAAAAGATGCCCGCAGCCGGAAGCAGTGATGCGAATCAGGTATCAGATTGATTTTGGAAAGGAAGTGGAGTTGAAACGGAAAATGAAAGTATGTTTGAAGAACTCCGCAGTCGCAGACGATCAGGATCACAAATCCTTAGACATGGAAACAAAATCATTGATTACAACAATCTTAAAGGAATGAATTTGTTGCATAAAATCAACATATCAAGACGATTTGAAATCTCGATCCGACAATCTCAATCAGGTATAATTCGGCAGCGCAGAAACATACGCAAACGGTTTTACGGACTACAACGGTGCCAACGACATGGTAAACAGTCATGCGAAATGGGCATCAACAAGGCCGAGAAAGGAAAACCTCCTGTCAGACAGTTGCGGACAAGGGTGTTTTGTCGGCCCGCAAGAAAGACGTCCATGTTCGACAACAAGTAAAAAGATTCCCAACGATGCCCCGATGCGGACAAGATTCAAGTGCTGCGGTGTGACCAACATCGTGTGCGCAGGCTCGTTGGGGAGAGTGGAAAGTAGTCCTGTATCCGGAATCAGTGATGCGAATCAGGTATGAAATCGATTTTGATGAAGAAGGATGGTGTGTTTTCGAATTAATCTCATCGGATTGAAACGGAAAGTGAAAACATATATTCGAATTCATTTTTCTGACGATCAGAGTCACAAATCGGTATTGAAACAAGATGGTTGTACAGCGGCATCAGAGGCTTAAGTAGGCAGTTGGTACGAAAATCAAAGTTTGAAAAGGTGATCTGGAATCTCGATCTGACAATCTCAATCTGGAATCTCAATTTGACAATCTAAATCAGGTATTGATGCGCAGCTGAGAAAGATACGCACACCGTTTCACGGACCATGGTGCCGCCGACATGGTAGGAAGACGAGGTAGGGGTTCAACAAGGCAAGAAGACCTCGTGCTAGTTGCAGACAACCAAGGATGTAATCCTGGCCCGCAGGACAGACCTTCGTGTTCGACGACAAGATTCAACATTCACCACACTGTCACGATACACACGCGGTTGAAGGACTTCGGTATGCCCAACCTTTTTGCGCCGGCCGTGATGATGGGGCGTAGTGCAAGACTTCCGTGGACCCCGTTGTGCACGGTGAGACTGCTGGGGAAGACGTGTCTGCAGCGAGGTAATTCCATATTTTGAAATGTTTGATGCTCATCCTACGATCAAAATCTTTTAGTATCAGGATTTTTTCACGTCTGTGATGCAGCCTGAAGAGATTCTATGGAGAAAGTGATGGAACGATTGATGATGCTTCCGTAGTTCTACTGATCCCGTAGTACTTCTCTTCTGCCGTGCTAGACGTTTCATCGTGGAGATGTGAAAAAATTGAAATGATTCTTGATTTTCTGAGACTGAAAGAATAACACAAATCTGGATGAATCCGAAATCAAAATTGTCAAGGTACTTACTGGACATGGATAGGACGGCAGCTGAAGAGACCTTCTGCTGACATCGTATTGGACCTGAAGATGCTGTGACTGACGTGCCCGTGTTGTTGGACGACTTGCAAAATTGAACTTGCGCTTCGATCTATATAGTCTTGAACACCAATCTCATAAAGCATGTGTAGACCTCACAGAAAGCCGGACTTCACAGTCGAAGGAAAGCTGTTTATGTCGAGTTTCACTCCGTGTATCATCCTAGGATAGCGAGTAGGAGGATCGAGCGCAACAGGCAGATTTAGACCATTCAGAAAGCAGCTTCAATGTGAAGACATGAACACTTCGTAGTGTAAAAACATACTTACGTACGGCTGCCGGAAAGATAAAATCAAAAATCGAAACAAAAGCGATCTGCGTAGTGATTATTTGTCGTTTTGGCAGGCAGGTGAAAAAGTGTGCTGCCGCCGTGCAGTAGTAAGAGCTGTTGTTGTATCGGCAGCTCCCATTAGAGAGAGCCCCCGCATCAGTGTTCTTCGGATGCGGTGGAAAGAGAGCAAGGACGAAGGGAAACTGTAGACAAAGATGAAATGCGACCGTGCGCGCGGCAAGATCAAAATTTAGATAATCGGTCACAAGACCGTTACAGAAGACCAAAAAATCTGTTGTGAGTATCTGTTGTCAAAGCGAGATCTAGATTTACAAACTCATTCTACCATTCAAAAGCTCGATGTTCTTAGCTTTATTCGTCATACGGTGTTTGGTGTTAACGTGTTTCGTACTGGATCCATGATTTGTTTCGTCGTCGTCTTTGTGCTTCGCAAGGATTTGTATTGCGTTTTCTGCCTTGCTCGACTTCCGAATCCAAACCAAACACCGTAGGGAAGAGATAAAAAGGATACTCTGCGCAGCAAAATAACAAAAAATGAAGTTTTGTTCTGCGCGGCTTGCGCGGCCTGCGCAGGTTGCATATCGCCCGCCGTGACCACCTCCGACACTGTCGCCGTGGCCAGCTCTCCAACACCGGTCTGACCAGCCTGATGCAAAGACTCCGGAAGGTACAGGTTACTGAAGATGATTGCGCTCGTTCTGTGTCACATCCACCAGAGCTTTTCTTTTTGTGTACCGTATAAATTTGATAATTTGATCATCGGTAGTTCTGCTTCAATTCATTTTCGGGTTACTACTACACCTAGTCTTCTCTTCCTAGACAAAAAATTGGAAAACAGTCCCTCAAGGTGGTATATCACCACATCCTCGTTTTCTGACAATGACCTAATTCAAAAACAGGTACGAGAAACCGAAGACAAAAAGGAAGCGGGGCATATCAACGTGAAAATTACAGCTACAGCGATCATACCAATAGAAATGACAATAATAAATGCGGTCGCATAACTGAGCTCTGTATTATGTGTTCTTGCAGTATGCGAAGCGGTGATTTCTAATGCGCGAAGTGTACAAGGAACTTGTAATGCGCTACTGGCATGAAATCCGTCTTGTCGAAGGGGCTTCTTTCTAATGCGAAAAAACAGTTGCATGTCGACAAATCATGTTGTGGTATGGTATGGGTGTACTTTTCTGTAGCATATGTCACCACCATCGGCAGGGACGAGAACGAGATGCAAATCATGGTGCAGAATTATGTGTCTTCGAAGAACGTCTTGCACAGCGTGTCGCGTCTCTCTGTCCCCGTGACCAACTCTGACACAGTCCCCGACCTTAGCTCTTCGACACCGGTGTGATGAGTCTGATACGAAGGCCCCGCAACGTTGTGCTGGTAAAATCGATTGCTTTTCCGTGTAACAGTCACGATCTGTCATGCAGAATTTTTTTTTCCGGTTCTAAATTTGATCATCGCCAGTTCTATACAAGCACTAGTATGCCCCGACTCTACACATAATTTTCTCCTCCGAAAAATCATCAAATCAGGTTTCCAAGGACAACCACACCTTCGTCTTGTTTCACCATGCCGTCCGTCAAGAAACATGAAGTTCCCCGACCGCCAGTGCCGAGCTCGGAATTCCATTTCGGCCGAGAGTCTCTATCAAATGCAAATATGTCTGGGTCTGGAAGATTGGAGATTTGTGATGCATCTCGCGGACCACACAAATGGTCTGGTATGGACACAAAAGCATTACAGATTTTGCGAGACCTTCCTCATGCCGCTCCGCATGAGAAATCCGCTTTTTTCCTAGCAAGAACTGGGCAACTTTTGGCGCTCATACAATACAGATTTTGTGATCGAGAGTTAGCGTGACAAGTTGTATTCTTCCAGACCCAGACATATTTGCAATGCATAGTCTCCCTCACCGCCTCCACTAAGAACAAGGTCTTACAGGCGACGTCCCGTTTATCAACTGCAACAGTGTCTGCGTCTGGAAGAGGTCCAACTGCCGCAGGAACAAATGAGAATGTCGGTAAAGGTATCGGTAAGTGTATCGGTCTAACTGCCGCTGCAGTGGAGAACTTCCGTGGTCGACCAGGTCATGATGGGGGCGGCGGATGGAGTGATGCGCCAGGAAAGGCGGTGGAGCGCAGTGATGATGAGCGGCGGGTGGATGGTCCACGAGGGCGGGGTGACGGACTACCCCCGTACTTCATGGACATGCAGGCAGAGAGACGTCAGTCGCCGCAAGGGGAGAGTGCCCTGCATCCATCGCAGAATGTCTACAGCGCTGTGGCTTCATCTACAGGACTGCCACTGTGTTCCCTCACTGCAACGTGTGCGCGTAGCAGGTCCACGCAAACCACCCCGAGGCTACCTTCGACGCCACAATGCCACTGCGTGGCGATCGGTGAAGGTGGTGCGCCGACTGATATGTAATTTATCTGGAGCTAGGTTTGATATTGCGTTTCGAGAGAAGTGCTGCTCGAAAGTTCACAATGTGAAACAAAATTTAGATTTGCAGCTTGATGGCAGCTGTGCTTGCATGAGACAATTGCGCCTCGCCGTCTGGGCTTGCGCGTCAAAGGTCGTCCAAGATTTGAGCACTGCTAGAGCAGGCCTGAGTTGTCATTATGTTCGGTTCCTAAAATTAGAAACGTAGACTTGTCGACCATCAATCATTGAATAACTTTCTCTTCATCCGCCACTGCCAACCCTTCCACACAACTACGACGTGGACACACCCGCCAAAGACTACACCGCCGCAGACGTGTGTCACGGGTTCCGTCCGCCCCGATGAAAAGCGTGGTACAAACTGCAGCACCTCAACGTGGCTAAGTACAGCGGAGAAAAATCTGGGCCTGGAAAGGCAAGCTGCCGCTACGAAGGAGGACTTGGTCCCGAACGGCGACGAAATTGGCGGAAATGCTGCTCGACGTAAAAAATCTGCCGTGTACAACTACCATATCTGGAATCGGAGGTCTGCCTCCGCGCCGTTTCATCCTCGCGTCCCGCTGACGCTGCCGGATAAGTACAGCTGCTAATGGAATCCACAGGAGTGGCCCATCACTGTCCGCGGACAGGAAGCTCGAGCTCACGGCCGCGGCCGATATCACGCCGGCGTTTGCCCACAAAAACGACGACGGCGAAAGGGGATCAGCCGGCCAAAAGAAGTGTACCAGTGCGGCAGCCGCCGGAGGAAAAAACTACTATCACAAGTGCGGCACTGGTCTGCCTACACGCCGTTTCGCGTCCCGCTGACGCTGCCGGAAGATACAGCTGCGAATAGAAAAATCCACAGGAGTCGTGGCTCATCGTCGTCCGCGGACAGCAGTAAGTTCGAGATCACGGTCGCGGTCGATAGCGCGCCGTCGTTTGCCCACAAAAACGACGTCGGCGAAGGGAGCTTGTGGCACGACGGGGGCGGCATCTACCGGCATGTACTGCTTCACAGAAGTGGTAGAACCAAGCCGCGCATCGTCGATGTGTACCTGCCACACAAAGTGGTCACGGAGCGAATAGACCAGCACAAGCTGCCTCTGCGCGCGGACGTCGCACTGGACCCGGTCATCGAAGTGAACCTCGGTGAGCGAGATACCGACGTAATATCTGGGAGGCCCCTGAAATGGAAGTATGCTGACGCACTGACAGCTGCCGAAGACGACGCTGCTGGGAGCATGCCAGAGCATGCGGAGCCGACGGGCAGAACCACCGGAGCTGCTGCAAGTGGTAATGCCGCTATTCCGACCTCGGCGGAAACGGTCGGGGGACCCGCGCTGCAAAAAGGTGCTTCCGAAGATGAAAAAGCGCCTCTCAGTGCGGACGCTGCCATGGACGCAAAATGGAAAAGTGCTGCAGTATGGAGCGGAGGCCGCGCGTGACCACGGAGGCCATCCCGGGCAAAGGTGCTACCAATGAAAACAAAATTTAGCCAGATAATCGGTTACAAGACCGTTATATATGTTTATTCTGGAGCTAGGTTTGATATATCGTTTCAAGAGTGCTGCTGCTCGAAAGTCTAATGCGCCAAATCTACATCTCGTCAACTCTGCTTGCATGAAAGAATACCGCCTCGCCGTATGGGCTCGCGCGTCAAAGGTCGTTCAAAATTTGAGCACCGCTAGAGCAGGCGTGAGGTGTGAATTATGTTCGGCTCCTAAAATTATAAACGCACACTTCTGCGCCATCAATCACGAAAAAGCTTCCCTTTCATCCGCCACGACCAATTCTTCCACACAACTACCCGCCAAAAACTACTCGGCCGCAGACATGTGTGTCGCGGGTTCCGCCCGTTTAGATGGAAAGCGTGGCACAAACTGCGCCTCAACGTGGCTACAGTGGAGACAATCAGGCCCTGGAAAACTCAGGAGCTACTGCTACGAATGAGTACTTGGTGCAGAACGGCGACAAACTAGGCGGAAATGCTGCTCGACGGAAAAAATCTGACGGTACTGGGTAACATCATCATCATCATCATCATCATCATCATCATCATCATCATCATCATCATCATCATCATCATCATCATCATCACGTGTACAACTACCATGCGGAGGTCTATCTACACGCCGTTTCATCCTCGCGTCCCGCTGACGCTGCCGGAGGATACAGAATCTGCCACAGGAGTGGCCCATCATCGTCCGCGGAAAGCAAGCTCGAGATCACGCTCGTGGCCGATATCGCGCCGGTGTTTGCCCGCAAAAACGACGGCGGCGCTGTATATGGCGCGGTGCTGCGAGCGCTACTAGCCTCGCGCGTGGAGCCGACCCGCGCGTGACCTAGGAGGCCAATTCGGAGAAGCGTGTCAGAAAAAGTGCTACCGATGACGAAGCACCTCTCAGCACGCACACTGCAACGAGCGCGATATGGAGTAGTGCTGCAGTGTGGAGCGCTACTGCGAGCCAAACTATCCTTCCGCGCGTCTGGACCCGAGTCGCGCGCGACCCCGCAGGCCATGATCCCGGGCAAAGGTGCTAAAAAATATAAAACGCACTTCCCGTGACGCCGACCTCTCAGTAGGGATCGATGGAGCGGAGGCTGATGCGAGACCTATTCTCGCACACATAATGCGAGACCTATTCGACCCGCGCGAGACCAGCAAGGCCACTATGCTAAAAGGTGCTGGCTGCGGGAAGTAATGCAACTCGCGCGACGGCGAGCTCAGAGCGGCCGCAAGCTGCAATACATAGCCGAGGCATGAAATGCTGCAACACAGCAGGAGGCTGTGCACGAAACCAACAAGGCCATCCAGCTGAAAGACGTCTGCGTGATGTGCATCTGGGAACGGTAGCCCCGCGTCGCCGACCGTCTACGACATAAACTCGCCTTCCGCCGGAGAAACAAAAAAACTACTATCACAAGTGCGCCGCTAAGCATGGCCATGTCAGGCCCATCGAAAGCTGCGACGGATGGAGCCGACAGTGCGGCCGCGACCGTCATATGGCCAGACAACTGGCAAAGACATCCATATTATATCCGACAGAAAAGTACCCCGATCGTAGAGGAAATCGAATTTGTCATGCTGTTTTTCGTTTCGCGCGAAATTCATTGTTCGCTATTCAGTATCACAAATTTTTTGAATATTTGCCCTGCCCCCGCTGGTCCGCACTCTTATTTCTTTTTGGATTTTATGTAGCCCTGCTTGTCGGAAGGGGGGTGGTTTTCCTGCGGCTTGAGAAGCCAGCGAGGCGTGGAATACAGCAACACAGGAAGCTGTTGCCAGCCGTAGCGCCGCGCACGAGACCAGCAACAAGGCCATCCAGCTGAAAGGCGTCTGCCCGACGTGCTGCTGGGAGCGGTAGCCCCGTGTCGCCGACCGACGGCGACCCCAGAGCGGCCGCAGGCTGCAATAGGCCGGCGGGGCACGGAATACTGCAACACAGAAAGCTGCTGCGATCCGTAGCGCCGCGCACGAGACCAACAAGGCCATCCAACTGAAGGAGCGGTAGTTTCGTGTCGACCACGACCGTCCATGACACAAAGCCTCCTTCCGCCGGAGAAAAAAGAATACGATCACAAGTGCGCCGCTGAGCATGGCCACGTCAGGCCCATCGAGAGCTGCGACGGACGGAACCAACAGTGTGGCCGCAACGGTAACTTCGCTAGGCGGGCTGAAGTGCCAAGCTCGCACGCCAATCGTGCTGGAAGATGTGGAGCTGTGGGACGGTGTCAGACGCCTCCACCTGCCGCTGCTATCACAAGACAATAAACTCCGTCTGCTCAACATTTCGTGATGAAAAGTGAATTTGTATTGAAAAGAAAATGATGTGGAAGCGCCTGTACTTCTCGTTGGAGCAAATTTTTGTATGCGCTGACGTTTTTCGGGCAGTATCGGAAGGCCATTTTCCGTTCCAAAATGATACTGCAATATCTTCTGATATGGGGCATGTTTTCTTCTGATATGGGGCTACTTTTTCGCAAAGCATTCTAGTGGAGCTGCGGCTGCTCGATGACCGCGGGTGCTCGATGAACTCGTGGATGGCACATATATCCAACAAAAAAGTATCCCGATTGTGGAGGAGCATATCACGGACAAAAATCCACCTTCGATGTACGAGAAAGAAAATCTCTTGCGATGCGAAAACCGCAGTCGCAATTCACTATATCTGTAGTGCAACGCAGTATCCCACTTATTTATCTCTATGTCCATACTGCTGTCGTTGTGCGACTCATGTAGCCCAAGCGTGTTTTTACTGTCGGGAAGGGGGTGGTTTTCCTGCGGCTTGATAAGCCGGACGCAGCTTCTTCGGCCGGCCATACGGACTGTCTACCTGCTCAATAGCGTCTGCCGATTACCTCATCAAAACACGCGCTGCATTTGTCTAACCCATTCCCCAAGAAAGGTCTTATCCAGCAGGGCTGCATAAGACCCCCCCCAGCCAGCACGGCAGTAGTATTATCCGTCGCGGCCAACTACTCGCATGGGGACCCCCCTACTAGAACGCTTATATAAATATACGTCCCACAGAGTTGGCAAACGCAGCGCGTGGCGAGGACGAGACAAAGTGCTCGCTTATCACCAAAATTTCGCCAGGGGCGGCGAAGCGCTTTCGGATAATCCCAATCAGCCTCGCGTTTGGGCGATGAAGGTGCAAAATAAAATGTAGCCCTGTGCCGGGTTTCAGAATCTGCGAGTTTTCTGTAAGCGGCCCGCCTCCACAAGAACATTGGAGGCGGCACAGCCATCGTGTGTATGGGGTTTCTGCACAGCCGCCGAACATATGAGATTTGTTTGTATGTCCGCGCGACTACAGCATTATTCTGAGCCTTTTTTTTTTGTGGGAGGCCTAGTTTGCATGACAAGTTTGTCCGTGCGCCCGAAAGTGCGCAGGAAGAGGCCCTCGTGGCCAATGCCAAATGTTTGATTGGAGAGCACCAAATAAAGTAATAGTAATCTGAAACCCGCATGACAGATTGGCTACTGGGTCTTTTCATAGGATGTAGAACCTCCTCAACACCAATGCCGGGCGGACGGCGCGCAGGTACTTATCGCACAAAATTGGTGTGCCTGTGACCCTGAGGAAGTAAATTGCTACGAAGAGTTGTTTTCTGGGGCAGGGGCTTGGGTGATTTGTATATAAACTTAATCCAGCACCGCAGTAAAGTAGTTCTTATTCAGCCACGCCAGCTGCATAAGAACCCCCCCCCGAGCCGGCGTCCCCGCCAAGTTCTGAGCCTTTTTCGGCCCAGCTGAATAGTAAGACCCCCCGAGCAGGCCAGCCCCCCATAGCGGCACTTTGAGCGAGAGCCCCCCGCCCCATCCTCAGAAAACGACTGCGGCGGTTGTCCGGGTCCTTGGCTGGAGCCAAGAGGAGCGAAGATGGGCGGAATATCTGGAACGACCTGGATCCCTATGCCTACAATCTATGCGAAGCTGTTGCGCCTATGAAAAAAACTGCATCTATGAAAAGCCGGAGCATCCATGAAAAGCTCGGGACAAATGAAGCAGGAGAGCAAAAAGTGGAGGCACGCGTGACAGATTTTGCATGCGTTTTTCATCATCCCGTTTGCGCATGGCAAACCTGGCAAGCCGCGTTTTTTATCCGACAGTGGTCATAATGCAATACAGACGTTTTCCGAATGCAACTGCAAGACAAGCACTCAGTGCAATACAGACTGAGCATTAAGTGGTCATAGTGCAATACAGACTGAATCGGAATCCCCAGCAGCATCGAGCTTGGGCGATGAAGAGTATGAAGGTGCAAAATAAAATGTAGCGCTGTGCCGGGTTTCAGAATGTGCGCCATCTACCCCCATCTACCCCCATCTATCCCCATCTACCCCCATCTACCCCCATCTACCCCCATCTACCCCCATCTACCCCCATCTACCCCCATCTACCCCCATCTATCCCCATCTATCCCCATCTATCCCCATCTATCCCCATCTATCCCCATCTATCCCCATCTACCCCCATCTATCCCCATCTATCCCCATCTACCCCCATCTATCCCCAAGGGTATGAAGCAGAAGCTGCAAAATAAAGTATAGCTCTGTGTTGGGTTTCGGAATGTGCAAGCTTTCTGTAACTGGTCTGCCCCCAAAGGTACATAGTAGGCGGCACAGCCATTGCTTGTATGAGTTTTCTGCGAAGCCGGCGAAAATATGAGATTTGTCCGTGCGATCAGCGCATATCTCAGCCCTTTTTTGGGGGCCTAGATTGCATGGGAGATTTCTCCGGGCGCCAGCCCGAAAGTGCGCAGGAACGCGCGCTCGTGGTCAACGCCAAATATTTGAAGAGCACAAAGTAATCTGAAACCCGCGTGACAGATTGGCTGCTGGATCTTTTCACAGGATGCAAAACCTCCTCAACACCAATGCCTGGCGGACGGCGCGCAGGTATCACAAAAAATTGGTTCGCGCGAGCTCCTGAGGAAGCAAAAAGCTACATGCGCCTTGCTCGATTTGTGAAAGCTTGATAATAAATAGAAGTACAGTAGTACTGGGTAGCTTGATAATACAGTACTGAGGAGCACAACCCTTCCGCGCCCGCCGGCGCTCGCCTTTGTAGAGAAGCTTCAGCGAAAAAAGACTGCCACAGGTACAGCCTGGGACGCTCAAGAGAAACGGCGTTTGCATTCTAAGGGGCGACGGGAGAACCTTTCATGGCGATAGAAGCTCGGCGTGCTCGCGCTGCTGGATATCCAGCGCGTGGAAAGTTGTTTTCTGAGGCCACGAACGCGGCCTAATATCAACGAATCCTCCACGAAAAAGGTCTTTATGCCTAAAATCTATGTGAAGCCGTTGCGCCCATGAAAAGTCTGCATCTATGAAAAAACGGGATATCCATGAAAAGCTCGGGAAAAATGAAACAGGAGAGCAAAAAAGTCGAGGCGCGCGTGACAGATTTTGCATGCGTTTTTTATCATCCCGTTCGCGCATGGCAAACCGGGCAAGCCGCATTTTTATCCGACAGTGGTCATAATGCAGTACAGACTTTTTCCGAATGCAACTGCAAGACAAGCACTCAGTGCAATACAGACTGAGCATTAAGTGGTCATAGTGCAATACAGGCTGAATCCCCAGCAGCATCGCGTTTGGGCGATGAAGAATATGAGGCTGCAAAATAAAAACATCTGCATTCGTCCATACCTAGACATCTTTGCAATGCATCCCGTTCCCAAAGCCGCAACTGGTACAGCGGCTGCTGCACCTGTGACTGCTCCGACCGCAAAAAGTAGTACAACCGGTGGTCCTCCTGCGAGTACTACAGCAGCCCCCTCTGATCGCTCGAGCACCGCCCCGACCACCGCCAAAAGCTGCACCGTGAAGAAGGGCAAGAATTCATCGGGAAAACCTCCTCTGAAAACCAGAGTATCATTGGAAAAAAGATCTCTCCTTGCTTTTGACAGTTTTTGTCATGCTGAGCGCTAGTGGAAACTAACACTGTGTTCTTGCGCGGGAAGATCGAGAACTACGACTATTGCAGATGCAAACTAAGTAGAAGCAATACTGGAGCAAGAACTCGATCAAGATCGGGTGACGTGAAATTTAAATTTGAATTTGTCATGCTAAATACACATTAAGAGGCCTAATATCAATGAATCCTCCACGAAAAAGGTCTATGCGAAGCTGTATCCACGAAAAGGCGTTGCATCCATGCGCCCTCGCCTGGTATCCACGACTACCATCGCGAATTCCGGGGCGACTGGTGGACGAGCTGAGTGCGAGCGGGCGGGCCCTCGAAAACGCGGCACGGGTCTAGCTACGCGCCGTTTCGCGTCCCGCTGACGCAGCCGATGACCCGGTGATCGAAGTAAGCCTCGCGGGCGGGGCGATAGCGCAGTGCAATATCTGGATGGAACTCATACTGGAAGCATGGCGCACGACGGAAAATATATGCTGTCGAAATAGACGCTGCTGGGGAGCTGCGCGTGGGGTCGACGGGTAGCAACGCCGGAGCCGCTGAAAGCGGTGCACCCAATATCTCGCCGGAGACGGTCGGGAAGTTCGCGCTGCGGAAATGCGCCACCGATGAACACGCGCCTCACCACGAACGCTGAGACAGGCACATCATGGGACGAATACTGCAGCATGGAGCGCTGCTACGAGCACTCGTCCCAGACCCAGCCTCGCGTCTGGAGCCGACCCGCACACGAACGTCAAGGCCATCTCGCGCGACGGCGAGCCCAGAGTGGCCGCAAGCTGCAATACATAGCCGAGGCATGGAATGCCACAACGCAGGAGGCTGTGCACGAGACCAACAAGGCCATCCAGCTGAAAGGCGGCCCGATGTGCTGCTGGGAGCGGCAGCCCCGCGTCGCCGACCGTCTATGACAGAATGAAAGTTTCCTTCCGCCGGAGGAAAAAAACGACTATCACAAGTGCGCCGCTGAGCATGGCCACGTCAGGCCCATCGAGAGCTGCGACGGACAGGAGTCGTGGCTCATCGTCGTCCGCGGACAACAGCAAGTTCGAGATCACGGTCGCGGTCGATAGCACGCCGTCGCTTGCCCACAAAAACGACGTCGGCGAAGGGAGCTGGTGGCACGACGGGGGCGGCATCTACCGGCATGTACTGCTTCACAGAAGTGGTAGAACCAAGCCGCGCATCGTCGATGTGTACCTGCCACACAAAGTGGTCACGGAGCGTATAGACCAGCACAAGCTGCCTCTGCGCGCGGACGTCGCACTGGACCCGGTCATCGAAGTGAACCTCGGTGAGCGAGATACCGACGTAATATCTGGGAGGCCCCTGAAATGGAAGTATGCTGACGCACTGACAGCTGCCGAAGACGACGCTGCTGGGAGCATGCCGGAGCATGCGGAGCCCACGGGCAGAACCACAACCACCGGAGCTGCTGCGAGCGGTAATGCCGCTATTCCGACCTCGGCGGAAACGGTCGGGGGACCCGCGCTGCAAAAAGGTGCTTCCGAAGATGAAAAAGCGCCTCTCAGTGCGGACGCTGCCATGGACGCAAGATGGCAAAGTGCTGCAGTGTGGAGCGTTGCTGCGAGTGCAACTAGCCACGCGTCTGGAGCCGACCCGCACACGAACGTCAAGGCCATCTCGCGCAAAGGTGCTCCCTGCTGTGAGCCGTGGCCTTCCCTCATTCGCGCCGGTGCTGTTTCTTATTCCTTCTTCTGGTCGTCGTGACTATTCGGCAATCGTTTTTCGTCACACCAATCGTGGAAGCTATCGATAGTGTCGTCTGGGGGGGATGCACAGTTTTTTTTTCCGATTTTTGCTTTCCAAGTACTTACGTTTTTTTGCCGCAATGCCAAGTAGGAATTGAGTAGCCCAACATGTCGCGTTTTTTGCCGTAAGGCCAAAGTAAGAATTTTTGAGTTGTCCAAAATGTAAATGTTTGCTTACCGCAAGATGACCAAGTAAGAATTGAGTAGCCCAACGTGTAGATACGATACTCTGGATGCCCAACTAACACCAAAATACCACAACCCATTTCTCGTCGAAAAAAGTGCTCTTCTGGCACAAGAGATCATCGGATCAACACTACCAAAAAAAATGCACCTCTCGCGACACCGACCTCTCAGCGAAAAAAATGGACCTTTCGCGACGCCGACCTCTCAGCGATAAAACTGGACCTCTGCCGACACCGACCTCTCAGCGATAAAAATGGACCTTTCGCGACGCCGACCTCTCAGCGAAAAAAATGAACCGCTCGCGACGCCGACCTCTCAGCGGAAAAAATGGACCTCTCGCGACGCCGACCTATCATCGAAAAAACAGGGACTTCTCGCAACGCCGACCTCTCAGCGGAAAAAGTGGACTTCTCGCGACGCCGACCTCTCAGCGGGAAAAATGGACTTCTCGCGACGCCTTCTCTCAGCGAAAAAAGTGGACCTCTCGGGACGCTGAGTTCTAAGCAAGGAGCGGAGGCTTCACCAGGTGCGACGCGGGGTAGCGCAGTACGGGATGCGGCAAAGTTTTTTTTCGTATCGAATCGTGGCGGGAAGGTGGGATATGTTTTTTTTCGAAATCAATCGTGCACCAAACTACTATCGACCACATCGTCTTCTGGGGGGAAACACGTTTTTTTTTCCTTTTTTGTGCAAGATTGCTTTTTTGCCGCAAGGCCAGTAGGAATTAGTGTATCAATCTTCATGTGATCATAATAAGTAAGAGCAACATCACGTAAAAAGGGATGAGAACAACTTCGAACAAGAATGTTTTGGAGCTTTGAAATTTGTTGATTACTATACTTTCTAGTAAAAATTTTGTAACAAAATTTTTGTAGCGGATGATTGACCGAGCAAAATGAGCATCACGTTTTTTGTTCCCGCCCGATGCCCGGAGGTATCGATCTGTCGTGACCGAAAGTGGCGAATGACCCGCAGGAGACCAACTACAAGTAGGCCATCCAGGTACATAGGGGTGGCGCCGAAAAAAATGTACCTTCCGCGACGGCGACCTCCCAGGTCGGAGGACTTCGTCGACGGCGTGAAAGCGCCGTGGGAGGCTGTGTCAAGAAATCCGGTCGTGGATGCAGTGAACGAGGGTAAGATAAATGCGGATCGCTTGAGGATGCCGTGTCGCAGGGAAGAAGATGCGATCAACATGCGGTGGAAAAATGCGGATCTGCTGGAATGCGACGAAGGACGTCGTGAGAACCGTGTGTGCAACGCGAAGTGCAGGCGGCGCAGTGCCGCGTCGCAGGGAAGGAGATGCGGCCAACATGCGGTGGAAAAATGTGGATCTGCTGGAATGCGATGAAGGACGTAGTGAAGAGAACCGTGTGTGCAACACGAAGTGCAAGTAGCGCGGACGCAAGTGCAAAAGAAATGCTCAAACCGACGCAATCTTCACTGCTTCACGCTGGGGATAAACCGCGAACTGCAGGAAGGAACGGATGCGGTAAGCGGATCGGTCGCGTTTCAGGAACAAGGTATCTGGTTCACACAAAACTGTAATATGCACAATTATTGTAACTAAAGACGATGTTCTATTCCACCATTTTAGATGTTAAATCGTGTTGTTTATCAAAACGAAGTTTCATTCAGTGTCGCAGCGAGATATCGAATAACATTTTTGCCACGACGTGCCTTCATATCCAATGCAAATGTGTCTAGGTCTGGAAGGTTGCAACTTGTCATGCAGATTTTGCATGGCCTTGGCCCGCGACGTATGTGATGTATTTTCTAGCGTCACAGATTTGCTGAGTGTTTCTTGATGCGTATTCCGCATGACGAATGCCCTTCCTGCGTAGCAAAAACTGGAGCCCTCTTGCTTGTCAAGCAATACAGATTTTTTTAGAGTCTAAAGTTAGCATCACAAGTTTGCATTCTTCCCGACCCAGACATATTTGCATTTAATATCTACAACGGCATCAAGAACGAGGCGCACGACGGCGAGGTGTAGGTCGACGAAAGGGGTATGAGCAAAGGACGAGCGCGAGTTCTTGCCGGCAGAAGGTAGAGCACAACAGCACGTGCTACGAACGTGATCTGACGCAAGCCGTGCGCCGCAGAAAATGTACCTCCCGCGACGGCGATCTCGCAGGGTGGAGGATTGCGTCGACGGCATGGAAGCGCCGTCGTGGCGGGTCGCGTCAGGAAGCTCGGAGCGCTGAATAGCAGCCCAAAAACGAATAGCAAGAAGTGGCTCTTGCATTACAACAAGAAGAAATCAGTGGCGGCGGAGATCCAGCTGCTGAGCCAGGTCGTACAGCTAAGTAGGGCTGGAGGCCGTGGAGGATGCAGCAGTACTCAGTCAAGTACTACACTCGGAGCTGCACACATACGCCCGCGGTGAGAGGTACTTTTTTATTTTGATTTCACGACGTATTCGTATTCGTACGACTACTTTTCTTTACACACCTAGTTTTGAATTTGTCATGCAGATCTACGTGGGATTGTGATTGTGTCAGTCAACTACCTTGAGTACATTTTTCCAATTTCTACATCGCAGGTATGCCGTCTAGCACGCAGCCACAGTGCCTGCTCTCGGTTGATTTGCCCCTGTTCCACCCGATACTACCGGCTGGAATTTCCGCACGAAGAGAAGGCGCGATGTTGCAATTATGGAAACAACATAATGTGATGCACAACATCTGATTCGTAGTGCACCGATTTTAGATTGGTAAAACCATGTCGACACCAATGTCCGAGATAAGCTTAAGATCGCGCGCTCGTTGCAGGCAAAAGTTTTTTGACGTTTTAGACACACGTGGAACTGAAATCGAAGTAGAGACTTAAACTCAGTCTACACACAGGAGAACAGGAATAAAAACGAAGTGTCTTGTACCTGCAATTCAAAAAGCCAAGCTAGAGAAGAGCCAGCACGCGGTGAAGGTTTTATGTTTGGCCTGGCAAGTTCGTTTTTGCATGACGTATGACTGTAAACCGGCCCTTTCGTCGTGTTCGGAAAAAATCCGTCTCGGTTGCGTGCCGCTGATACTTTTACAATTACTAATACTTGTCTCTTGATCGAAAATTAACACACAGCAACTGCTACTAGAAAATTAACATACGGCTACCTGCTGAAGATCTACTTAAACTCCGTATCAAGATCGAGAAACAAGATCATATCGACCGACCTAGTTTTTTCGTCATGTGTTTCCGTTTCGTCTTCAACGTTTATTCGACAAGTTCCGTGTCTATGTCTCGAAACAGATCATCATCAACAATACCACGATGTCGATTTGTGACCCATCAAAATCGCTATTAAATTCTCCATTTTCAATACCCAAAAAAAAATTCTAGCGAGCGAAAGATTTTGATTTCGTAAAGGAGCACGTTTTTGAGTTTGCGTGCTCCACAACCAAGGATGCGGCTCCGATTTTCTCTGGGGGGCAAGCTTTCGTGAGTTTCGCCTCCCGTGTTGAAGGTTCACTTCGACACTTGCGCGGACCTGGCCGAATACAGCGACAGGAGTGGCAGGGCCGGCAGGAAGTGAGACGGGCGCGCGATCGGCCGCGTCCCGCTCTTAACGGGCCGTGCGTGCGGGTGCGTAGGTCTGGGGCGTAGGCAAGTAGACAAGGTGGAGAAGCGCGGCTTCGGGTACATCAATATTTCGCTTTGTTTCTCGTCGTGGATGCATAATGTACAGAACCTTTTCCACATGTCACGCACAGCATCTTACTGTGTTTCGCATCGACATACAATTTGAATTTCCAACTTTTCTTACGATCTATAATCACAATGACCTAAATTCAAAACAGGCACGGGAAACCGAAGAGGAAAGCCGGCTTATCAACGTGAAAAGTACATCCATACCAATGCAAATCCAAGTATTTGGATGCGAAACGAAATTTGTAATGCGCGACGTGTGGTACGAGGAACGAAAACTGGCAAGTTGATCTCAGCAAATTTTTGCGATGCAAGAAAACTGTTGCATGTACATGTGGACAAACCATTTTTAATGATTTCATGGTGTGGTGTGGTATGGGTCTACTGTTCAGTAGGATATATCGCCACTCCCGGCAGGGGCAAGAAAGAGATGCAGATTATGATGCAGAACTTCGTGTTCGAGCAACGTCTTGCACAGCGTGCATCTCGCCTTCCGTGACCAGCTCTGACACTGTCCCCGAGCCTAGCGCTTCGACGCCGGTGTGATCAGCCCGATACAAAGACGGGCCGAAGCAAAGGTAAATATGATTCGCATTTCTGTATATCATTCGCAATTTTGTTTACATTGCAATGTATATCATTCACAATCTGTCATTCGGAAAGTACAATCGACTTTACTGTACCTACCAAATTTGATCGTCGGTAGTTTTGTAGCATCACTGCCTTTCTTTCGCCCGGTTGCGCATTAATATGTTCTCCTCTTGAAAAAACATCGAAACAGGTTGGCAAGGTCCGTCACGCGACCTTCGTACTTTTTCACCATGCCGTCCATCAAGAAAAATGAAGCTCCCCGACCCCCTGTACCGAGCTCGGACCCCACGCCGGCCGAGAGTCTCCTCACCGCCTCCACCAAGAAAAAGCGCCGTCCTGTTTATCAATTGAAAAGATGTCTGGGTCTAGATAGCAGTGTTTGTTGAACTTGTGATGTATAGTACGTTGGATCACACGAAAAATTGTATTGCATGAGCGCCAAGAGCTGCTCTTTGCTTTCTTGCTGCACAAACAGGGAAGTTGAATTTCTCATGTGGGAAGTGCAACAAGAGACCGTTTTCACTGATCTGAGTCTGATACTGATTCCGAAAGATGCATGACAAACTTAAGCATTCGTCCAGACCCGCACATATTTGCAACGCATACCATTCCCAAAGCCGCAAGTAGTACAGCGGCTGCTGCAACTGCGACTGCTCCGACCGCAAGAAGTAGTACAACCGGTGGTCCTCCTGCGAGTACTACAACAGCCCCCTCTGAACGCTCGAGCTCCGCGCCGACCACCGTCGTGAGCACTGCCAAAAGCTGCAACGTGAAGAAGGGCAAGGATTCATCGGGAAAACCTCCTCCGAAAACCCGAGTATCATTGGAAGAATAATCTCTCCTTGCTTCTGACGGTTTTGTCATGCCGAGTGCTAGTGGAAACTCACACTTTTTTCCTGCGCGGGAAGATCGAGGACTAGGACCCACTTGCACTAGCTGCAGATTGAATTTAAATAGAAACAAAAGTTGGATACAACTAGATCAAGATCGGGTGACGTGAAGTTTCAATTTGAATTTGTCATGCTAAGTACACATTTTGCTGTTGCGTTTGCGAGTCAAAGCAAGAAGAGGCTGTCAAACAGTGATACTCGTCCATATCAAATGTGAATATGTCTGGGCGGCCTGGAAATTTGTGATGCCGGCTTATGGACAAATGAAACAGGAGAACAAAAAAGTACAGGCACGCATGACAGATTTTGCATGCGTTCTTTATCATCGTGTTTGTGCATGGCAAACCGGGCAAACCGCATTTTTACCCGACAGCGGTCATAATGCAATACACACTTTTTCCGAAACCGAATGAAACTGCAAGACAAGGATTTACATGTTGCATCTCGACGACGGCAGAGGTGGACCCAGACATATTTGCAATGCATAGTTCGCCAACATCGACAAGACCACCTACGTATCCTGTGCAAAAGTATCGTATTCGTATAAATGCATTACAAATTCCCTCAGCATGAGAAATAAAATTTGTCATGCGGATTTACCTTAGAAAAAAAATTTGTAATGCAAGACTTGCATTTGTACGAGTGCGATACTTTTGCAGTGCATACTACGGCGTCGTTGACCTGTGGCTGCACCCCTATCAAATGCAAAAATGTCTGGGTCTGGAAACTTGTGATGCTAAAATGTGCATGATGAAAACACTCTCGAATGCAGTCCGGCATGACTACTTCCCAAAACGCTTTCTCATAGGCAATCCGCATGAGAAACTGCGTTTTTGCATGACAAAAGAGGCTGCGACTTTTGTTGGTTATGCAATACTTACAGATTTTCTAGGTATGGAAAGCTAGGATTACAAGTTCCAACCTTCCAGACCCAGACATTTTTACAATCCATAACCCCGTATCACATGCGAAAAGGTCATCTGGGTTTGGTGGATCTGTAATGCGGTATTGGCCATTCGCAGCATGTCAGCGCGGTAACCTGTGTTGCATGAGTAAGAACTGTGTCAGACTGGAGCTCACTTTCTCATGCAAATATAGGTAAAGCTAACCTGCTGTGCATGTTTCGTCCACACGTCCAGGATTGCAGCATCTTGGCATTTGATACCTCGATCCCAATAGCACTGGCCACACACAACGAGCCTGGGGCCCCACTGGTGCGCCAAGCGAGCCAATCCATGGAGGAAGACACGACGGGGAGAACACGTTGCTGGATCGGAAAAGCACGGTTTCCAGGCACAGGCAGGAGTATCAAAATAAATCAAAATGACCCCGACCACACCCTCCAGGTAGGTGGTACCCGACCCTCCCTCCCTCCCTCCCCCTCTCCCGGGCGAAGAGAATGGAGCCGTGTGGTTCGGGCGGGGGCAGCACACCATCCTGTTTGGCCTCCCCGTCGTCCCATTCCCTTCGCGAACGCGACTGGCCATCGCGTTCGCGAAGAGAATTGAGCCGTGGGGTTCGGGCTGGGGCAGCAGCACACCATGCTGTTTGGCCTCCCCGTCCTTCCATTCTCTTCGCGAACGCGACTGGCCGTCGCGTTCGCGAAGAGAATTGGGCCGTGGGGTTCGGGCGGGGGCAGCATACCATGCGGTCTGGCCTCCCCGTCCTCCCATTCTCTTCGCGAACGCGACTGGCCGTCGCGTTCGCGAAGAGAATTGAGCCGTGGGGTTCGGGCGGGGGCAGCATACCATGCTGTCTGGCCTCCCCGTCCTCCCATTCTCTTCGCGAACGCGACTGGCCGTCGCGTTCGCGAAGAGAATTGGGCCGCGGGGTTCGGGCGGGGGCAGCATACCATGCGGTCTGACCTCCCCGTCCCCCCACGGTATGGCCACGAGAACCTGCGGCAAAACGGACCCAGCGAACTCTAGTGGGGGCCCGGCCCCAAGTAGAAATCGAGAAGAGCGGGACCCGCCAATTTCTAGTGGGGGCGGCCCCCCCACTAGAATTCGCGGGGCCCGTTTTGCCGCAGGTTTTCGTGGCCCTACCGTGGGGAATAGCTGTCCCGGGGCGAGCTGGAGGCGTTCATCAGGTGCAAGTAATTTTGAATGTCATACCGGGACCCAGAGCCGCGCGGACATGACCGGCGCACCTTCTATCCTGAGTAAAACGTCCAAAACCCAGAATCAAGATTGCGGCTTTGCAACACAAATCAACAAGGTTTGACTTCTGCTGCGCATGACAAGTTTAGATCTGTAGTGTACTCGTTTTTGGTTACTTCTGGAGCCGCATCACTATTTCTTTATCCTAATTAGAGCATAAGAAATTCGTAGACAGCATGAGAAAATAGCAAATTCCTAGACAGCATGGTTTGCGCATGCGAAACCCTTTCCGGCATGCAGATTTGCATGACAAGTCTGGCGAGGGGACGTTTTTGCACGTGACAGCCTCTATCGACGACGAGTACCTGAAGAGCATGGGACTCTATCCTGTGCAAAAGTAGAAGTATCGTGCTCGTAATAATTGCAATTATGCATTGCAAATCTTTTTCCCATAGGTAAATCCGCATTACAAATTTTGTTTCTCATGCTGAGGAAATTTGTAATGCAATTCAAATTATACGATTGCGATACTTTTGTACAGCATAGACTCGACCCCGCGACGATCGAGGAATGGGATAAGATGCTGGACCCGGGCAACATCAACTTCGGAATCGAAGACCCCAATCAACAGCGGCACAGCATGGACGACCCCGTGGACTCTACCGTTGTTGACGGCAGCACGGTACTATGCATTGCAAATATGACTGAGCCTGGAAGATGATCTATGATTTGTCTATGTCTTGCTGAGTCGTGCATAGCGGAGTGTCTTGTGTACGGAGCACCCGCTTTTAAAGTTAATTTGAGCATTACAAACGGGCTTCGAACATGACGAAAATCTCACTACTTCTCTCAATGCATGCACAGATCTCGAGTTTCTTCGAACCCCGCATGACAAATCCAGCCTCCGAATAAATGTTTGCATTTCATAAATGTCTCGGTGTGAGAACAACCTGCTCGACCCCAACATCATGATCAACACCACGGAGCACTGGGACTACGCTATCCTGAATAAAAATGCATCGTCCACCCCAAAGTTCGCATGAGCATTTGCATGCGCAGAGAATGCGGGATCTTCGCACTTAATGACAAACAAGACCCACAAGAAAAGGTTCCAAAGAAAAGAACGCCGAACAGAAATTAATTGCGCCTTCCAGGAGTGTATGCTGTTGCCTGCGCCACCCCCCAAGGAGGGCGTGGAAAGAAAACAGTGCGGTGCACGTCGGTGTCCGCGAGAGTGTAAAAAATGTCGCTTGGGAGGGAGTGTTTTTCAACAGGACATACGCCGATTTATTTTGCTTCCGCTTGTCGGAAATTTTGGCTCCCGCGAGTCGGAAACTTTGACTTCCGCTTGTCGGAAGTTCTGGCCTTCGCTGGTCGGATGGTCTGGCTTGGTCCGTTGTGCGGGGATTTTCGAATTCCGTATGTCGGAATATTTTTCGTTGCCCGCTACTTCTGCGGGATAGGTGCTGTCTGGCCGTTCTGTCCTCGGGGCAACGAACGGTGCTCCACCTCCCTGGGCGCCTCAACGACGTGGTGGGAGACTGCTCCCACCGAGCGGCCATCCACTGGGTGGCCCGTCTGCGGTAACTGCATAAAATGTCGTTTGGGAGGGAGCGTTTTTCAACAGGACATTCGCCGAGGAGGAATCCTATCAGGACTACGAGTACGACTGGCAGACCGATTCCAACACGTATCACGACGATTCCTGGCATGAAGATCCCGCATACACCGACCAGGAAGCCAGCTATCAGGACAACGACCAAGATGCCAGCTACCAGGACGATCATGCCGGCTTGTACCAAGACGACTCGGGCCCCGCGCTGGCGGCGTACCACGAGGACAACAGTGCGTCGTACCAGAAAGATGACGGCGCGTGGTATCAGGAGGAAGCTGGACCTTGTTCTCATGAAGCACTTGCTGTTCCCGCCGGGCAAGACGGCACATATGAAGACCAAGATGCGACCAGCTACGACCCGGATATCAATTGGGGCTACGACCATATCGTAAGAAAAAACTGTTTCACTGTATTAAGGATTTTGCAAGTTTCGCATTACAAGTTTGCTACACATTACAAAGAAAACTTGCCATGCGAGGATCCTAAGGGAAAACACCCCTAAAAAACACTTGTCTTGCAGGTGTAGCAAGACAAAGAGTTCTGTGTTCCATTTTCTGCATCACAAGTTCACAGTGAAACAGTTTTTTCTTGCGATAGACCAGCACGACGAACTCGACGGCCCGAGTGAAGACATCAACCGGGAAGACGAGCACGGGTTATCCTGAGAAAAAAGTGTTACAGTTACACGTTGTGTTGCAGGCCAAGCAAGACAGACAAGCTCTGTCATGCCAGAAATGCTTCATCCGAGCTTCATTTCATACGTGTTTTCCCTTATGGTCTGCGCATCGCAAGTTTTCCCTCTCATGCAGAGAAAATTTGTGATGCAGAACAAACTCCAACAAGTGTGTAACAGTAACACTTTTTTCTTGTGATACGGGTCCACCGTTGCTGGGTACTACCAGACGAACGGATACCATGAAGACGCCAAATCCTACGGGCAAGAACCTAGCTACGGCGAAGAAGCTAGCTACGGAGAAGAAGCTAGCTACGGCCAGGAAGCTAATTACGGGCAAGAAGATAGCTACGGCCAGGAACCCACCTACGTCCAGGATCATGCGGGTACCACTCACGAGGAGAACGTCGGCTACCAAAGTGTGGTCGCAGCACCACGTCCACCCAGGAAGAACCAAGTGCACGCGACCAACGAGCACGTCAGCCACGACGACGAAGCGCTTGCGAAGGCGCTGCAGTACCAGGAGTGGACCGACAAGAACCTGCAGAAATGGCAAGCCGAGACGGCGGACGTCTGGTGGCGTGACGGCAAGGCTGGATCCTCGTGGGACCACGATGCTGCCTGGTACGCAGACGGCTCTCGCTGGACAGACGTAGCCGTGGCGGAGCAGTTGTGGAACGACTATTCCCAAGGCTGGTGGGAGGCGGAAGGACAAGCGTGGTGGGACAAGCAGCAGTGGACCGTATCGTCGGGAAAGATTGGGTTTGGTTATGAAAAGCGTGTTGAAGATCATATCATATGCAGGCGTGAGATGAAGGAGAACTTCTGTAAGTAGCTTATGGATGAGAAATTTACATCGAAACTCCTGCTCAGAATGCTGTAGCAAAGTGCGCATGACAGCTTCATCACTCGTGGCGCAATATTCCCACTCCATATCCCGAAGAAGACAGCTGGACGGAGGAGCAGCAGGTCCTTTCCAGGATGAAGACTATATCCACTGCGAAGATTGCTCGGTCAGGAAAATTTGGAACTTGTAATGCTGAGCTTGTCAGATGACTGACAAGCGAAAATTTGTATTGTGCGAGCTACAAAACAACAACACGTGTAGCTTCGTCTGCCATTCGCATGACAGTGAATTTTTAGAAACTTGTCATGCTTTTGCTTGGTCTCGCGTAGTAGACGAGGGTTTTGGATCACAAGTTTCGAAACGAGAAAAATCATGTTTGCATAGCATATCCGATCGCCTGGAACAAGAGATCTTCCACGTCCGCCTCGAGGGCCGCCGCCGCTGCAGCCGCGAATAAAAAGCTGCAGATATGGATTGCAAAAATGTCTGAGTCTGGAAGATTTCGATTTGTAATGCGGTCTTTGGATTCCAAAAAAATCTGTATTGCATGACCAGCGACAGGACTCCAATTTGTGTTACGCGGAGAGGGCATTTCTCATGCGGAATAGGCAATAGGAATCCCTCTAAAAATCTGTGTTGCTAGATCATGCATAACAGACATCACGGGTCATGCAAAATATGCATGACAAGAAACCTTGCATATTTCCAGACCCAGACATATTTGCAATGCATAGCAGGAGCAGGCGAGCAAAACGGGGAAAAAAGGCAAGCTTGATCCTAGCTGCAAGGCCACCTCCGGCTCCAACTTGATCTTCGGTCCGAGCGCGACAGAGGAGGAGCGGGCGAAACAGGCAGCCGAGATGCTTGTTGCGAAGAAGAGCGGCGGGAAAAAGCCGGCTGGTGTTTATGACACTGCACAAGAACCCCCGCGCCCCCGTGTCATGCAAATCCGCAACTCCTGATCGATTCTACATTCGAGCACGACTCTGCATGACAAGGTTCATCTCGGAGCCCAGCCCGCATCCTCCATGCATTTGTCATGCAGGCGGCACCCTGCTGATGTCGTCTGTGATGCTGCTCATGTCATGCAAGTAATTGTAGGGGAGGGGGCGTTGTGCACTCTCATATTTGACTTGCTTCTGCGTCTGCGAGCAGCTGCAGCAGCAGATCATCAGGCTCGACGAAATTATCCGCCTCAGGAACTACGCCTGGCCAGAACTACCAGAAATTGACCACGGTGCAGAAGAGCAAGCGGCCGGTGAAGTATCCCATGCCGTGTGATCTCGATGAGGACATCGTCGCTGACCCTCCGCTATCAACTGCAAATATGTCTGGGTCTGGAAAAATTGGAATCTGTATTGCTTGTTTTGCACTCCTGTAGAATTTGTATTGCGTGACCGACAAAAGTGCGAATTCTCTGTCATGCAAAAACGCAGTTTCTCATGCGCATTACACATGAGGAAGTGCTGTCCTGAAAATTTGTCATGCTTGGCAGCTCTCAGGAATAGACTCAATCATCGCCACTTCGCATCACAAGTTTCCAGACCCGGACATATTTGCAGTGCATAGTCGCCGGTGGTGAACCGGGACGACGAGAACGAGTTTCCCGGTCTGCACGCTGCGTTGCAGGCATCGAAGAAGGACTTCTTGAAACGGGCAAAGAAGACCGTCCTTGCAGCGAGTGCGAGTGAACAAAAAGACGCGATGAACACGAAGGAAAAAAAGACGACGAAGGAAAAAAAGACCACGGAAAAGTCCGCCTCATCCACCGCTCGAAGCAGTAAAGACCCTGGTCCACCGGAGCCGGCGAAAAAGCCGAAGAAGGAAAAGAAAAGCAAAAAAGAGAAAAAATCCTCTTCGAGGAGCAGCAGCAAAAAGGCAGAAGAAGATGCACCAAAAACAAAGAAGATAAAGCGAGAAAAGGTGGACGCAAGTGCGGGTGGCAGCAGCAAGGCCAAGGCAGCAGTTCCGACGGCGCCAACGAAAAATCAGAGTGCGAGTAGCAGTGGTAGCAGCAAAGCGACCAGTGGAACTACTGCTGCGCCGCAGCCAGCTCCTGCAGCGCAGCCAGCTGCCGCAGTACAACAACGGGGCCCTACTGCGGTTTTAACACAGCCGGGGGCCGTGGCGCAACCACAGGTCGTGTCGCAGCAGCGAAAGTGGTGGGAGAAACCGGTCTACAGTGATGACGACGACAGCGTGGAGTCGCGGTCTCCACGGGTTTTCCCGGCCGACGAAAGCGACGCGTACTGGTCAGACGACGAGGGGCTGACGGAGGTTCCGACGGTTGGGAAGCCCTTGAAGTCGATGCTGCTCGACTTCATCAACCTGGAGTCGAAGGTGGACGAGGCGGGCGAGACCGACTTCGTGCAGTTTCAGGGGTTTTTCCGAGAATGGCTCGAGGAGAAGGAACTGTTCGAGGAGAACGAAATTGAAAGTCGGCCCTTGCACGAGATTCTGACCATGATCGCGGACGAACCCATTGGGGAAGACGACATTCTCCAGGACTGCTTGCGCCAACTGGACGGCGTTCTCACGCGGCGCTGCAAGACGTTGGACACCGTACAGAAGTATGGATTGCAAAAATGTCTGGATCTGGAAACTTGTAATGCTGCGTTGGGAATAGTGAATGCTCTGCAATGCACATCCAAGCATGAGAAATATCTGCGCTTCTTTGTGTTGCGTTGCGTTTTTGCATGACAGGCAAAAGGGTCTCTTCTCGGACACGCATCACAAACCTTTTGGTCATGCCAGACAAGCATGACAAATCTCTCAATCTTCCAGACCCAGACATTTTTGCCTGTGATAAGAAGCGCGACGTGCGGCCCAAGGAAAAGACGTGGATCTGCGACCCTTGCCTGTACCTCCCGCCGCGGGGCGATTGGATCGACCTGGAAAAGAATCCGCAGGCCCGCGAACTGCTCAGCGTGGTGCGCGGCGGAACATTATCGTGCGTAGCACCTCGGCGTCGTCTTCTGCAATCTGGGGTTTTGTCATGCGTGACGCCGTTGGAGTCCCAGAAAGATGAAAAGAGAAAAACAAATTCGGTGCGCAGTGCAGCATTAGGTTTATAGAGCAACCTCAACCTCCGCAAGGACATGGAGTTATAATTTGTGTTTTTCTTTCTGATTCTGATAAGCGGTTGAAAGTTTGCATGGGAGGAGGAGTTGCAGAAAGCAAAAGGGGTGCTGCTACACAGGATAAACACCTCAGGACATCCACAACGCGGTACACAGGTGTCGCAACATCAACATCGGCTTTATCCGGGACCACCGCGGGCGATGCGTGATGCACTACGCGGCGCAGAAGGGCAACGTCGCGGCGCTCGAGTACTTTGGGCCGCTAGCTAACGCCTTGGATACGGAGGGTTGGGCGCCCCTACACTACGCGGCGTACTTTGGAAACCGTATCTCCTGCGATCGCCTGGTCCAGCTGGGTGCCGACATCGATATGGTCTGCCTGCCAAATGGTAAAACCGCTTTTGATTACGCGGAGGACGGTATGATGAAGTGCACTATGGTGTCCCTCGCTATCCACGGCGCTAGCAGCATGAAGGCCCGGAAACTGGCAGCAAACTTCGTGGAGAGCTTGTCCGCCACCTACCGTCGGCAAATCGTGGCCGAGCAGCTGAACATGGACGCCGCGAAGCTTGCCGCGCTCGCGAACGGAACGGCGACTCGGGAAAAGCCAGTGGACAAGCGAAGCCCCGTCGAGATAATGCTTCAGGGGGACGACGTGCTGCGGGCACAGCCGGCAACGACGGGCGAAGGCTTGCGGAAAGCCGCGGAAGCAGCCGCTGCTGCCTTGGCCAGAGAGAAGGAGAACGCCGCGAAAAGAGCGACCGCAGCCGCCCAACGCAAGATGGGGTCGAAGATGGAAACGAGGGCGAACTACGGTGCGAACGGAAACGGCGAAAATAAACCGAGAAAGAACCAGTGGAAGAAAGACGAGAATGGCGAGTGGAAGAAAACGGTCTGGCACCGGGATCCGAACGGCGAGTGGCGGCAGATTGACAAGCTCTGGCGGAAAAACGATGAGGGCAAATGGATGAAGAAAGAGGGTGACGGAGAATGGATCGTCGTACGCATGGAAAATGTAGTGTCTTAATGGTCTGCTGGACAAGTTGAACTTGTGATGCGAATCTTCCATTCGTAGAAAATATGTATTTCTGCAAGATCAAAAACGCAGGTTTGTAAACTGTTTCACCCAATCACATTCAGCATCACAAGTTTCCAGACCCAGACACATCTTTGCAATTCACACCCCGACCACAAGAACGACGTGAAGAAGGACAAGCCGGACTGGATATGCACCGAGAAATAGGATGAGTGTCTCAAGGAGTTTGCTGCAGCTGCTGCTAAAAAAATCGTCCTTATGTATGAAAGGACCAAAAAACAGAATTGTGCTGGGGCTGGGTTTGGCCCTCTGCATGGCAGCGTTTGTTTTGGTCGTTTGCTGGTTTCACCACATGCCCCTGCTGGAAGCAGGTCTTTATGTATCTCTTTGGAAAAATGCATGACAGAGTACTATCGAAGCATGCACGCTGAGCATCGCAAAATTTGTACTCTCTCTGACACGCACATTTGCGGTTGATACCTGAACAAGAAGCAGGATAAGTGGAAGAAGGACGAGAACGGGCACTGGGTCAGTTATCCAACAAAATAAATCGAATCGAAGTAAAAAGTTGTCTCGTGCGAGATCGCAGCACCTCTAGTAGGGGAAGATAATTATACGTGAGTTTGGAGAAATGAACTTGTGCAGGGAGCTACGACCGCGTTGGGCCACAACTGGTCCGCTTCCTGCTGCAAAGCGGGGGCGTCTTGTGGTTTCACGGTGCAGTCAGTGCCCTCAGGGGCGGCTTCTTGTACCGCGGCCCGCGTTTGGGAGGCCGGCCCCTCTTCGGAGCGGGTTTTTGTGGCGTAGCCAGCAGTGAGTAAACCGGTCCCCTGGGAAGGACTCTTTGCGGGCGGTGATTCCAATTGCTCTACGCATAGACGCCCACCCTCCGCCAGGGCGCTCGCCTTCCGCCAGGGCGCTCGCCTCTCGCCTAGGCGACCGCCCCCCGACTAGGTGAGTCGTGTAGAGTTTCAACTAGAAACCCCCGCGCCGAAGTTCCGCGGCCTTGGAAGTTCTAAACGAACAAACTAAGCCCAGCACAAAAAAAGGGACCCCCTCAGCGAGAAACCCCCGCGCCAAAGTGCCGAAAAAATTGTTGCAAAAAGGTAGCGGCATGGGCGACAGCGTGCGGGGAACTGCGCAGAGCTTGGCGGGCTTGGTCGCTAGTTTGCAACATTCCTGCCGCCGGCAGGGCTGTTGTGAAGTGCTGCAAAAAGGGAGCAGCAAGAATGGGCGACAGCGTGCAGGGAACGGCGCAGAACTAAAGCCCGCCAAGTTCTGTGCCGTTCCCCTGTCGCACTCTCGGCAGAGAGCTCCCGGAGAGTGTGCGACCCCTATCGCACTCTGATGGTGCGCCATGCATCTTCGGGCGCTGTCCGTTCTTTGGTCTGGCTCGCCATTTTGGCGGCTTGGTTGTCGGCAGAATTTGGCAGGATTTTGCCAGCCGGCGCGGAGCTGCCGGAGAGAGTGCGACCCCTATCGCACTCTGATGGTGTGCCATGCGTCTTCGGGCGCTGCCCGTTCTTTGGTCTGGCTCGCCGTTCTGGCGGTTTGGTTGTCGGCAGAATTTGGCAGGATTTTGCCAGCCGGCGCGGAGCTCCCGGAGAGAGTGCGACCCCTATCGCACTCTGATGGTGTGCCATGCATCTTCGGGCGCTGTCCGTTCTTTGGTCTGGCTCGCCATTCTGGCGGCTGGGTTGTCGGCAGAATTTGGCAGGATTTTGCCAGCCGGCGCGGAGCACCCACCCGGAGAGAGTGCGACCCCTATCGCACTCTGATGGTGTGCCATGCATCTTCGGGCGCTGTCCGTTCTTTGGTCTGGCTCGCCATTCTGGCGGCTGGGTTGTCGGCAGAATTTGGCAGGATTTTGCCAGCCGGCGCGGAGCACCCACCCGGAGAGAGTGCGACCCCTATCGCACTCTGATGGTGTGCCATGCATCTTCGGGCGCTGTCCGTTCTTTGGTCTGGCTCGCCATTCTGGCGGCTGGGTTGTCGGCAGAATTTGGCAGGATTTTGCCAGCCGGCGTGGAGCACCCAGCCGGAGAGAGTGCGACCCCTATCGCACTCTGATGGTGCGCCATGCATCTTCGGGCGCTATCCGTTCTTTGGTCTGGCTCGCCATTCTGGCGGTTTGGTTGTCGGCAGAATTTGGCAGGATTTTGCCAGCCGGCGCGGAGGTCCCGGAGAGAGTGCGCCCCCTATCGCACTCTGATGGCGCGCCATGCATCTTCGGGCGCTGTCCGTTCTTTGGTCTGGCTCGCCATTCTGGCGGTTTGGTTGTCGGCAGAATTTGGCAGGATTTTGCCAGCCGGCGCGGAGGTCCCGGAGAGAGTGCGCCCCCTATCGCACTCTGATGGCGCGCCATGCATCTTCGGGCGCTGTCCGTTCTTTGGTCTGGCTCGCCATTCTGGCGGTTTGGTTGTCGGCAGAATTTGGCAGGATTTTGCCAGCCGGCGCGGAGGTCCCGGAGAGAGTGCGCCCCCTATCGCACTCTGATGGCGCGCCATGCATCTTCGGGCGCTGTCCGTTCTTTGGTCTGGCTCGCCATTCTGGCGGTTTGGTTGTCGGCAGAATTTGGCAGGATTTTGCCAGCCGGCGCGGAGCTCCCGGAGAGAGTGCGCCCCCTATCGCACTCTGATGGCGTGCCATGCATCTACGGGCGCCAGGTGCCTAGCGATTCATCGACAACCCCAAGGCGGTGGATTTTTCCCCGGCTTTGGGAGGAGCAAGAAAGGGCACACCGCGGAGCCGGTAAACAATTCGGCGACAGCCGCAGACGATTGGGGCGAGGAGGTGCCGAGCAATTCATCGACAACCCCAAGGCGGTGGATTTTTCCCCGGCTTTGGGAGGAGCAAGAAAGGGCACACCGCGGAGCCGGTAAACAATTCATCGACAGCCGCAGAGCATCGGGGCTAGGTGGTGCCGAGCAATTCATCGACAACCCCAAGGCGGTGGATTTTTCCCCGGCTTTGGGAGGAGCAAGAAAGGGCACACCGCGGAGCCGGTAAACAATTCATCGACAGCCGCAGAGCATCGGGGCTAGGTGGTGCCGAGCAATTCATCGACAACCCCAAGGCGGTGGATTTTTCCCCGGCTTTGGGAGGAGCAAGAAAGGGCACACCGCGGAGCCGGTAAACAATTCATCGACAGCCGCAGAGCATCGGGGCTAGGTGGTGCCGAGCAATTCATCGACAACCCCAAGGCGGTGGATTTTTCCCCGGCTTTGGGAGGAGCAAGAAAGGGCACACCGCGGAGCCGGTAAACAATTCATCGACAGCCGCAGAGCATCGGGGCTAGGTGGTGCCGAGCAATTCATCGACAACCCCAAGGCGGTGGATTTTTCCCCGGCTTTGGGAGGAGCAAGAAAGGGCACACCGCGGAGCCGGTAAACAATTCATCGACAGCCGCAGAGCATCGGGGCTAGGTGGTGCCGAGCAATTCATCGACAACCCCAAGGCGGTGGATTTTTCCCCGGCTTTGGGAGGAGCAAGAAAGGGCACACCGCGGAGCCGGTAAACAATTCATCGACAGCCGCAGAGCATCGGGGCTAGGTGGTGCCGAGCAATTCATCGACAACCCCAAGGCGGTGGATTTTTCCCCGGCTTTGGGAGGAGCAAGAAAGGGCACACCGCGGAGCCGGTAAACAATTCATCGACAGCCGCAGAGCATCGGGGCTAGGTGGTGCCGAGCAATTCATCGACAACCCCAAGGCGGTGGATTTTTCCCCGGCTTTGGGAGGAGCAAGAAAGGGCACACCGCGGAGCCGGTAAACAATTCATCGACAGCCGCAGAGCATCGGGGCTAGGTGGTGCCGAGCAATTCATCGACAACCCCAAGGCGGTGGATTTTTCCCCGGCTTTGGGAGGAGCAAGAAAGGGCACACCGCGGAGCCGGTAAACAATTCATCGACAGCCGCAGAGCATCGGGGCTAGGTGGTGCCGAGCAATTCATCGACAACCCCAAGGCGGTGGATTTTTCCCCGGCTTTGGGAGGAGCAAGAAAGGGCACACCGCGGAGCCGGTAAACAATTCATCGACAGCCGCAGAGCATCGGGGCTAGGTGGTGCCGAGCAATTCATCGACAACCCCAAGGCGGTGGATTTTTCCCCGGCTTTGGGAGGAGCAAGAAAGGGCACACCGCGGAGCCGGTAAACAATTCATCGACAGCCGCAGAGCATCGGGGCTAGGTGGTGCCGAGCAATTCATCGACAACCCCAAGGCGGTGGATTTTTCCCCGGCTTTGGGAGGAGCAAGAAAGGGCACACCGCGGAGCCGGTAAACAATTCATCGACAGCCGCAGAGCATCGGGGCTAGGTGGTGCCGAGCAATTCATCGACAACCCCAAGGCGGTGGATTTTTCCCCGGCTTTGGGAGGAGCAAGAAAGGGCACACCGCGGAGCCGGTAAACAATTCATCGACAGCCGCAGAGCATCGGGGCTAGGTGGTGCCGAGCAATTCATCGACAACCCCAAGGCGGTGGATTTTTCCCCGGCTTTGGGAGGAGCAAGAAAGGGCACACCGCGGAGCCGGTAAACAATTCATCGACAGCCGCAGAGCATCGGGGCTAGGTGGTGCCGAGCAATTCATCGACAACCCCAAGGCGGTGGATTTTTCCCCGGCTTTGGGAGGAGCAAGAAAGGGCACACCGCGGAGCCGGTAAACAATTCATCGACAGCCGCAGAGCATCGGGGCTAGGTGGTGCCGAGCAATTCATCGACAACCCCAAGGCGGTGGATTTTTCCCCGGCTTTGGGAGGAGCAAGAAAGGGCACACCGCGGAGCCGGTAAACAATTCATCGACAGCCGCAGAGCATCGGGGCTAGGTGGTGCCGAGCAATTCATCGACAACCCCAAGGCGGTGGATTTTTCCCCGGCTTTGGGAGGAGCAAGAAAGGGCACACCGCGGAGCCGGTAAACAATTCATCGACAGCCGCAGACCATTGGGGCTAGGAGGTGCCGAGCAATTCATCGACAACCCCAAGGCGGTGGATTTTTCCCCGGCTTTGGGAGGGGCAAGAAAGGGCACACCGCGGAGCCGGTAAACAATTCATCGACAGCCGCAGACCATTGGGGCTAGGAGGTGCCGAGCAATTCATCGACAACCCCATGGCGGTGGAAGGATTTCCCCCCGGCTTTGGGAGGAGCAAGAAAGTGCGCACCTCGGAGCCGGTAGACAATTCATCGACAGCCGCAGACCATTGGGGCTAGGAGGTGCCGGGCAATTCATCGACAACCCCAAGGCGGCGGATTTTTCCCCGGCTTGTGGAGGAGCAAGAAAGGGCACACCGCGGAGCCGGTAGACAATTCATCGACAGCCGAAGACCACTGGCGTCATGAGGTGCCTAGCAATTCATCGGCAACCCCTAGGCGGTGGATTTTTCCCCGGCTTTGGGAGAAGCAAGAAAGGGCACACCGCGGAGCCGGTAGGCAATTCATCGACAGCCGCAGACCATTGGCGTTATGAGGTGCCTAGCAATTCATCGACAACCCCAAGGCGGTGGCTTTTTCTTCGGCTTTGGGAGGAGCAAGATAGGGCACACAGCGGAGCCGGTAAACAATTCATCGACGGCCGCAGACCATTGGCGTTATGAGGCGCGCTGTCCGTTCTTTGGTCTGGCTCGCTATTCTGGCGGCTTGGTTGTCGGCAGAATTTGGCAGGATTTTGCCAGCCGGCGCGGAGCTCCCGGAGAGAGTGCGACCCCTATCGCACTCTGATGGCGTGCCGTGCATCTTCGGGCGCTGCTCGTTCTTTGGTCCGGGTCGTCATTCTAGCGGCTTGGTTGCTGGCAGAATTTGGCAGGATTTTGCCAGCCGGCGCGGAGCTCCCTCCCGGAGAGAGTGCGACCCCTATCGCACTCTCTTGGTGTGCCGTGCGTCGCGGGTTGCCGCCCGTTCTTCGGCGTGGCACGCCGAAGAACGGCACGCCGTGCCGTGCGTCGCGGAATGGCTCGAAATGGCTTAAAAACCCCGCCCCGCCCGAGGAAGCGGGCGGCGGGGCGGCGAGTTTGGGAAAAATCCCCGCGGTCGACACCTTCGCGAAATGGCTCAAAAACCCCGGCCCGAGGAGGCGGGCGGCGGGGCGGCGAGTTTGGGAAAAATCCCCGCGATCTGCACCTTCGTGGAGTGGTTCAATCAAAAACCCCGGCCCAAGGAGGCGGGCGGCGGGGCGGCGAGTTTGGGAAAAATCCCCGCGATCTGCTCCTTCGTGGAATGGTTCAAAAACCCCGCCCCAAGGAGGCGGGCGGCGGGGCGGCGAGTTTGGGAAAAATCCCCGCGATCTGCACCTTCGCGGAAAGGCAGGCAGAGAAGTGGCAACGAGCCACGGGGCCCGAGGTGTTCGAAAGTAGGGCAAAGAATTGGCAGCGGGCTGCTGTCGGCCGGGCAGCTGGCCCAGCTGCCCCTTCGCAGCTGGGCCAGAAGTTACGCACGTACCCAGCTGCTGGGTACGTGCGTAAAGCTTTAGAGGGCTCAGAGGCGGGGGGCTCAACCTCTGCGAGCGAGCTCGCGTGAGAAACAAACCTCGACTTGCAATTTCGCTTGCATACCACGATGGAAAACAAGCCGCGCTGGAAGAGGAATGCCAGCGGCGAGTGGGTGCAGGAATAGCTGCGGAAAAGAAGGTCTATCCTGGGGAAAAACGTATCTATCTCGTCCCGATAGCATGCAGGAAGAGCTTCGCGATACGAGTGGAGAAGCTTATTTGTGAACTCCACATAGTGCAATGATTTGGACACGCGGCGGAGCCGTGCCATCACAAGAAGGTGTGGACGAAGAAATAGATCAAAACTTTGTCGCCATGAATAAAGAATTAGGATGAGGAAGCACAAGTAGTTTTGAACTTACAAACTTTTAGGAAGCACAAGTAGTTTTGAACTTAAAAACTATTGCCCTCCAACCATACCAATTTTAAATATGCCGCGTTTTTTTTTTCGTGCCTCAGTAGAAGGTTCATGACCAACAAAAGCTTCAAAACCGATCGGAGTATTGTTCAGCCATTCTAACGATTAAACAAGACGAAGTAGCGACTATACCAGATTTTTTTCGAAATGCACCGTCTGATGTGACTTCAGATTCACATCACTGATTTGCAGTGACTGAAATTCCTCGATTTGCCCGCAGCAGCAGATAACGAAGTATTCGATTATTATCCAGTGCAAATAGATCTGGGTAGGGAAAAGTCCAGCCTTTGTCATGCGACCCCTTATTCAAAAAAAAGAAATCTGTGTTGCATGCACGCAAAAACCTGCCCAATTCTGGCTAGGCAAAACGCCGATTTCTCGCAAAATCTGTGATGCTGCTGAGTGCATTTCAGACCATGTGGGTGGTCCGTGAAAGGCATGACAGATCTTGCATTCTTCCAGACCCAGACATTTTTGAAATGCATACATATGTTCAATTTTTCCGTTTATTTTCGACTGGTCCCACGACGATCAAAAATCCGTATCAACTGCAAATATGTCTGGGTCTGCAAAGTTGGAACCTGTGATGCTAACTGTGGACTCCAAAAAAATCTGTATTGCATGACCAGCAAGAGGAGTTCAGGTTGTGCTACGCGGGAAGTGCATTTATCATGCGGAATAGGCATCAGGACGCCTTGTAAAAATCTGTGACGAGGCTAGGTCATGCATTACAGGCATCATGGGCCATGCAAAACATGCATGAGAGACCTTGCATTCTTCCAGACGCAGACATATTTGCAGTGCATAATCTTCCGGTTTGATATGACGATAATCGTAGTTTTTTATTTCTCTCTCTCTCTCTATCTCCGGGTCTACTTCCTGTGGTTCCTTTTGAAACCAAAGCCGTTTCCCAACAATGATTGAAAAAAAGCAAAAAGCACGAAAAAAAGGATTTGTCTAGATAATTATCGTAGAGACAATGAGGAACGTGCCATGGTGAGTTGAGGCCTATTTCTTTGCGGCGCCAGTTAGTAGTTGATGTTCAAGGATCATTTTCTTGTATTGATAGCCACACACGACTGGTAGGAGCACGAAGAAACTATTCGTATAAACGCTTCTATACCTCCGACAGAACAGGTCCCCGGCGCCAGAGATGGATTGTTTAATAAGCTCCAGGCGGGTACGTAGCTTTCACTAGTATCAGCGTTTTCAGCTCTCGGTAAGAAGAAAAAGACCTCAAGATCTCGTTAGCAAAACACAGCACCGGTAGTATGAAGTAGACAAGTGAGAGGGAAGCGCAAAAGCAAAACAGATCCTGTTCCGTGCCGGGGAAAAAAAAAATTTGAAATTCTTCTGTCTCCCCCGCTTTTGTTGCTTCCACAAAGAATGAAGAAGTCGATGCGCACTTGTGTCGAAGAGACTATTCTGCGGAAGTGCTTATTAAGCACGATAGTAGTTGTATCTGGTTTGATCTTGCTGATGGAGGATGCGAACGAGCATATCAAATTTGTATTGCTGGTCGAGGACAGGACGGTAGATATTGAAGAACGTGGTGCAAGTCGAATCTGTAATGGTGGTGAAGATGGAAGATAAAGATGGAAGATAAAGATGGAAGAGGACCATGATGTTGAAAGATCCGAAGTGACGCTTTTTTTTCTGGCGCAAGATGAGGATATTGACACGGTGCGGTTAATACAGAAGCTTCTAGGTGGTCGTGAAGCACTTATTTCGAAATACCTAAGGTTGTGGCTGCTCAATGCCAAAATACTTGGACTTATGCGGAAAGCGTTGCTACATACTGTGCTTGTACAAGAACCTTCATGGCGCAAGATGCACATCCGAATCTTCACACTGTCTATCACAAACCATTCCATTCCGATCCAAAAAAACCTCTAGCCAAGTCAATACCACGCCGTGTTTCTGTCTTGTTAATGTCATCTTTGGTTGAAGAAGAGTAGGAGCACGTTAAATCTCCGTAGTTCTTTCGTATTCAACGTCAAAAACATCACCAAGAACATATCGAGTCTTCTTTTCGAGCGATTTCGTGTCAGAGCAAGAAGTAAAAAGCGTTTCAATTTATGGCCAGGCAGCACCGCGTCATATGTGATCAAAAGTTTGAGTCGAGTCAAAGTTTGGTTTGTGTTTGTCATGCAACTTGTTGAAAATAAACCTGTCATGTCATGCGCGTACTCATCTCTGCTCCCCGATAATTCTACCACAAAGTCCCTGTTCAGCACAACGCAAACTTTGACCTGACTCAAGCTTCTGAAGCTGGGTTTTAAGCCCCTTCCATGACCAAATCTATACGTGAAGAGCGACACCTACTTACGCTGGGTTTCAAGCCCCTTCCATCACCAAATCTACGTGAAGATCGACACCTACGCTGGGACACAATTTTGCGTCAACGATCCAGTTTGTCATGCGTTTCTTCGTAAATATGCATGCTCAGTATCTTCGTATCAAGGATTTTATTTCGATAGTTCTGCCCTACCTGTAGTTGATACTTCTTCCGTCCGTTCTGTACTTTGAGTTTGCAGAGTTAAATTTGGGCATGACCACAGTGGCAGTCATAGTTAAAAACCGGGATGCGAATTATTATCATGCGAACCAGCATGACAAACTTGCGTTGAATCAAATTTCATATATCGCGAAGAGAACTTCGTCTTGAACTACCTCAACCGCGTCGCACAAGCCGACGCTGCGTTCATCTTCGCCCACTAACCCGGATTGCGATCCGACGACACCTTGATGTTCAAGCACCAGATTTTTTCGCGGTGACAACAACGACGACAGGATTCCAAGACACGAACAGCGACAACCCACAGTACTTCTACCCGACTGAATTACCCCTGACATTGGATTCATCATCCCCGAGTTGTATACTGTCCTCCGATCTTAGTACCGGCACGACTTCAATATCCACGAGAAGAACGAACACTACGAACCGATTTTTTTCTCCCACGGATTATTTCGAGCACTTGGAAGCGAACAGTACCTGATCTTTTCGACACGCGAGACGTTTGAACAGCACGCAGCGTGATTTCGTCGGCCGAGAAGGAACGCAAAGATCGCTCCGCCGGCGGTTGTTTGGTGTAGTACAACTCCTACCGAGTTATATCTGAAGGAAAAGCTGCACTTTGACATCACCACGCTGCTGTACGAGACCAAGTTTGCGTTCTGAATATCTGCTGTACGACAACATTTTGATGTACTGTGCGTAGCAGCTCCGGTTCTACATCCTCGCAGTAGATCGGTACAAAAAGCTACGGCTTCTACCGACGACAAGCAGACGCTTTTTTGCCCCGCGTTTTTCGCTTCTGCAAGAACGTCCACATCACAGACGATATCCGACCACATTTTCGCGGAAGACAAATTTTTTCGTTACAACGTGCTCTTCTACGACAAGCCTGTAAGTCATTTTTTCGTTCCAGTTCCACGTCGGGAAACTACCATATGAGAGTGCACGATTCCCCCTCCCCCTCATTTCTAGGGCAAGAGTGCAGGTTTTGCATGACAAATTAACTCCGGATTGTAGTGCTGTTTGCGTCGCCAGAATCTGTCATGCAAAAAGTGCCAAGAGGCAAAGGGTACTTTTGGTATGTTGCATGACAAATAAGCGGGGAGGGGGAGTTGTGCTCTCTCATATACCAGTGGGAGATCTTGATCACACGAGACCTTGGAAAAACCGCACGAAACCTGATTTCAGTGGTCGGGAAGGAACGCAAAGTACCTCGTTCCGCCGGCGCTTCTAGCGTGTCTGTTCCTTTATCTGACGGAGGAGGAGGCACTTGAAAATCTCTCACGAAGCTGCTGTACTACGAAAACGCTGTACGGGAGCTGCAAGTAGGTCACGCTTTACTTCCCGACTGTACGACAAGCAGTTTCGCCGGTTTCTACCGACGACGAGCGGACGGACAACCCCGCCGAAGAAGGCGTGTTTACCTGACTACACGAACGACCTTATCCCGATACCACGGGTTCGCGGTGGTGGACCACCAGTTCTTTTTTCGTCACCATAAAGTGCAGGAGCCTACGACGTGCTAATCTACCACGACGCGGTGGTAATTTCTTCGTTGCACCACGTCGATCTCCAGTTCGTGCGAGTCGGAGTTTATTGCGAACTAGTTGCCCACGACGGCAACACCCAGTTACACGAGGACGTGTTGAGGACACGGAAATTGTCCACTTTCGTACACCGAACGCCGGAAAACTGGCAGTGGTTTATTTGACGGCAATTCATTCTCGGCTTGTCCTCCGATTTTAGTACCGGGCCTACGTTAAAATATTCAGGTGACGAACGAACCCATCGAACTGAGTGATTTCTCACGGATTATTTCGAGCACTTTGAACCGGACCGTGCCTGATTTTTTCGACACGCAAGATCTTCGAACAGCACGAGAGCTGATTTAGTCGGTCGGGAAGGAAACGCAAAGTACCTCGTTCCGCCGGCGCTTCTAGCGTGTCTGTACCTTTATCTGACGGAGGAGGAGGCACTTGAAAATCTCTCACGAAGCTGCTGTACTACGAAAACGCTGTACGGGAGCTGCAAGTAGGTCACGCTTTACTTCCCGACTGTACGACAAGCAGTTTCGCCGGTTTCTACCGACGACGAGCGGACGGACAACCCCGCCGAAGAAGGCGTGTTTACCTGACTACACGAACGACCTTATCCCGATACCACGGGTTCGCGGTGGTGGACCACCAGTTCTTTTTTCGTCACCATAAAGTGCAGGAGCCTACGACGTGCTAATCTACCACGACGCGGTGGTAATTTCTTCGTTGCACCACGTCGATCTCCAGTTCGTGCGAGTCGGAGTTTATTGCGAACTAGTTGCCCACGACGGCAACACCCAGTTACACGAGGACGTGTTGAGGACACGGAAATTGTCCACTTTCGTACACTATCAACTGCAAAAATGTCTGGGTCTGGAAGATTGCCAGGTTTGTCATGCACATTTTGGATGACTCCTGATGTTTGTGATGCATGCCCTAGCATCACAGATTTTGTGAGGGCTTCCTGATGCCTATACCGCATGGCAAATGCTCTTTCCGTGTAGCAAAACTTGGACTCTCTTTGCTGCTCATGCAATACAGATTTTCTTAGAATCCAAAATCAGCATGACAAGTTGGATTCTTCCAGACCCAGACATTTTTACGGTTGATATACACCGAACGCCGGAAAACTACCAGTGGACGGAGTGACGGCAATTCATCCTCGGCTTCTTGTCCTTCGATTTTAATACCGGGCCTACGTTAATTATATTCAAGTGACGAACGAACCCATCGAGCTGAGTGATTGCTCACGGATATCCTGTGCAAAAGTATCGTACTCGTAGTAATTGCAGTCATGCATTACAAATATCGTTCCCAACGCAAATCAGCATGACAGATTCCATTTGTCATGCTGAGCGAATTTGTGTTGCAATTACTACTAGTACGATACTTTTGCAGTTCATAACGGATTATTTCGAGCACTTTGAACCGGACCGTGCCTGATTTTTTCGACGCGCAAGATCTTCGAAGAGCACGAGAGCTGATTTAGTCGGTCGGGAAGGAAACGCAAATACATCGTTCCGCCGGCGCTTCTCTCGTGTCTCTACCTGTATCTGACGGAAGAGCACGACTTGAATAAGCACTCATCACGACGCTGCTCTACTACGGCGAGAACGCTGTCCAACGAGAACAACACAGTGCTTCATTTAAATCTACTGCACGACAAGAGGTTGCCGTTAGGGTATCTACGTGCGAAGACAAGCGGACGGAGTTCTATCCCGCGCAGTTGGTGATTGTCCATACCCAACTACAAGAACGTCCACGTCACCGCACACGATATCTTCCTGCCACGTTCTTCTTCGCGGGGGATCGCAAGTTTCTTTTCGTGTACTACATCGCGCAGCCTACAGGACTGCAATCTCTGGTCACTGCCACAGGACTGCAATCTCTTCGTTGCACGTCGACCAGTAGTTTCTGCGAGTGGAAAAGTGCTTCCGGTAGTGACGAAAATGCCGGGTGAAGCGGAGAGCAGCACTGCCGCGGGTGGTAAACAGAAACCACCGACAGGCGAGGAGGTCGACTTTGGTGCTTTGCTGGAGGCATTGCCGCCGGTCATGAAATCAAAATTTGGCATGGGCGGAGTGAAGAATCTCTCCAAGTCGGACATTGTGGGTGTGTTCGCGTTCCAGCTGCGGAATTCCGCGAAAGCGAAGGCGGCGTTGAAGAAGCTGGGTCTCGTTATGACCCGCTCAAACGTTACAATCCCAAACGTTACAATAGAATCTGAAATTTGTGTTGCAAGACGTGCATTATCTAGCCAACTCTCATAGGATTGCGC